ATTACAAACATTTGGCTTTGTGTATTTCTGTATTATTACATGGTACAGACAAACTTATTATTTTATAGATTTTTGAGAGAAAAAAATGTTGTACTAAGTAGTCAAAATGACAATAACCCATTCATAAATTTGTTGCGTCCGATGATCAAAATGGGTTTAACAGAAAATCCAAATCCATCTACGGTCAACTTTGCCTTAAGGAGTTGGAACCTTATATTTTTTAACTCCTCAATCAATTTATCAACGGATAATTTAATTGAAAAAATATGTTATAAATCATGTCAGTACCGAAGTGCCTACAATTGAGCTGATGATCCCCTCGGGGAATAAGTCCTTCATTAGCGGTTTAGAACAGTGCTGGAAAACATAAGATAACACTTCATACGTTCGACGCCAATTTCTGGATTTACTTCAGTCAGAAACGCTCATGCACAAACAATTGAAAACCCCTACCTAAACACATGAAACGATATATGATCAAAAGGGGCATAAAAGAATAACCAAATCCATCTAAGGTCAACTTTACTGGAGGAAGTTTGAACTTTTTTTAGTTTTACTAATTTCCCCATTTATCAACGGAGAATCTAATTGCAATAGTCGTCAGTTACAAAGCAACGCTACTGCGCTGATGATACTCTCGTGGTCAAACAAGTCAACCTATTGCTGGAAAAATTAAAATATAACAATTAATCAACTTGTTACGTTCGAAGCGCTTTTCTTATTATATCTTCATCAGGAACGCTCATAACTCCAAAAACAAAATGAAATCCAACTATGTATAACTACCTAAACGCGCGAAGAGCTATATTATCAAAAGGGGCATAAAAGAATAACAAAATCCATCTATGTTCAACTTGGGCTCAGGGAGTTAGAATTTTTTGATAATTTCTTTATTTATGAACAGAAAATCTAATTACAAAAACAATAATAAATCATGTCGGTATCTGGAATGAAAGCCATTAGCTGCGGTATCGACCCAGTGCTAGAAAAGTAACACTTTATAAATTTGTTGCTTCCAAAGCGCATTTGTTGGATTGATCATCATCAGGTGCGTTCATACACAAAAAATGGAAAGCCAAGGATGTATAACTACATAAACACGTGAAGACCTATGTGACCAAAAAGGGCCTTACGAATTTCGTAACAATAATTTTCTAGATTTAACACCTGGTACTGTGCTCTGGGGCCGAAATTGTAGGCCTGTAACAAGAGTTATTATTCCCTTGGATTTTAGCTCATACGAACAACTCACATCAGTTTTTATTTTTCTTTCTTTCTGTATTTCTACTTCAAATCAACTTTATTTCTTCTATAGAATTAATTTCATCGATTCCAACTTCATAAACACTCTGACTTTTAGAAAAGTATCAAATTAGTTTGCAATAAACTAAATAAGAATATATATACGTTAACTGTTCAGACATTCGATAAACTAATTAAATAATTCGTCGATTCTCCGCTGAATATCAGCATCCGGATTTTGTTGAGGAGCAATTGCTACAACCACAAGATACATTTGTATTCTTGTAAATAAAAATTAAGTTGGAGTTGATAAAACTTGTTTATTGTTAATCATATAATTCTACATTTAATCAGATTTAACTGATTCTTTGTGGAAATCACTCAATGATGATATTGAATTTCATTCTGTGGACGATTAACTTATTAGAAACGAACAGCTTATTAGTTTCTTAATGAAAAGAAGCTTTTTCAGCCATAGAAATATAAATTGTACCTCGTTTATCTCAATTTTCTTGTTTTATGTCGAGTCGATTTCCTTGGTGATGTGCTATAGTTTACATGTTGCTAACCATAACCCAATCTTCATTGGAAAACTGGAGTCTAAGATGATAAAATCTAAACCAGAAATGTCATCCGGAACTTAATGTTGTTGTGAAGTCTTATTCGTGCCTAAGTTCAATTATTAGTAATTTTATACGAAATACTCGTAGCCAAGTTTCTTTGATACATTTCGTGTGAAGATAGTTTTCTCACATTTTTATAGGATGGTTATTACCGACAAGTCATCAAAATCTCTCAAGGACTGTTTTGACTTTGTTTACTGCAAACTTCGACTAAAAAAACCTGTTGTCGATTCTGATGGGAGCCTAAGAACGGTTTTTAACGGAATTTCAGTGAATTCTTGGTTCACTCCTATGGGCATTTCTGTGTCTCCCGAGAAACTTCCAACGCCATACAGCCCAGTCACAAAGGACTTACAAACAAAACTACATGAACGAGCAAAGAGTGCCTCTGCTGTATTAGGGCGTAGACATTATGAAATTGAACAACAAGAAGTTAAAAGAGATGAAATTTTGCAAGGATGTAGCATGCTCAAAACAAAATCTACGGATTTATTACAGACTTCAAGAAAAGTCAAAAGTGCCTCCGGTAGATTTTGTGGAACCAGTACGCCTAGTTCCGGTGATGTGCGATCAAAGATTTTGCTTCAAAGACCTCATACCTGCCACGGAACCAGGTCAGATAAACTGGTTTACGATAAACTGTCTATCAATGCAAAATCTTTAGAACTTTGCCATCATAAACCTTCAGCGCCGGCTATTAACATTACAGAGGACAAGAAAGACAATTTACGACTGTTAAGCGACTTCAAAACGGAACACGAAATGAGGGAAGCATTTTACACTAGAATAAGGTCAGCACCACCTTCCTTTCGAAATATTCAAAGCAAATCTGAAGTAGATACCAGTAACAAAAGTTCTACACCTCTTTACTGGAAAACAAAGTCTGCATACCATCGTAAACAAATTACAACAGAAAGCGGATGTGATAATAGCAACGATTCCGAGTGTGTGTCTCGCGGTTCATTATGGAAACCTTTATTGTACTCCGATGATAATGGAAAAAAGCATAAAGCAGGCTGTCCATATAAGTGTAAAGGATGCTTTCGTGCTTGTTTGGTATCCCAGGACTACATGGACAAAATATTGAGCGGCAAAATACAAATAGACAAGAAAAGGGAGAAATATGTGAAGCCAAAATTTTATCACAGAAGGATTGTCGAATTTGCGATTGCAAATGCACAACCAATTAAAGAAATGATAGAAAGAGATAATGCAGCAAAGATAAAGACATCACTAGAAGAAAAGATCTTTGAATATGCAAATGCTAATGCGAGTCCGGTGAAGATCATTAAGGATTGTGTTGATGTCGCACGCACTGAAAGCTCAACAGAAAACCGAGATAATACAGAGTGAAAAAGCGACTAAATATTAAATTGTGTAATATATCGACAAATACATCTTTAACAACAATACGCCCATTTCTGGAAACACTGTTTATATCTTAATTAGGATTTTACGATCTTTATTACTAATAGTTTCGGAGGATAAATTAGTGGGTTTGCCTAACTATTTTTAACGAAAATTCCGTTTTTTAATGTTATGGCGACCAGACTACCAAAAATGTATGAAAATTAAAAATATATACATTGAATTTTTTTATTTTTGAAAGGACCTCTGCGATCCTTCATCCACTGATTAAAGATATAACTTGTCAATATGTGACACAATGCCGATCAGAGGGGTTACGGAGGACCTAAATGCCAAAATACGCGTGAAAATTTAGAAAAAACCTATTTTAAATAATAGAATGAACTGCTGCGACCCTTCATCCACTAATTACAGAGATACCTTATACGCCATTAGAAAGCGTATTGATAGAGGAACAAAAAGTATATAGTCAGTATGTGCCGCAATGCTGATTAGAGGGGTTACGGAGGACCTAAATGCCAAAATACGCGTGAAAACTAAGAAATAGCCTATTTTAAATAATGGAATGGACTGCTTCGCGGACCCTTCATCAACTAATTACAGATATACCTTATACGCCTTTCGAAAGCTTGTTGATACAGGAACTAAAAGTATATAGTCAATATGTGCCGCAATATATTTGAAAATATTTAAATTGACATAAAAAATGGCGAATTCAGAAATACGGGATAGTGTCACAGTCAAATGATAAATGAGACCTTTTCAACTTGAATACTGAAAAATAAACTATTTCATAATTCATTATTCATTACTAAACGTTGAATAACATAAATTTTATGAACTATTTCATTATTCATTATTGAATTTTGAAAAATGAAAGCGGACGTACTTCAGCTAAAGCCGATCGATCTGCTCATTGCCAAGGGAAGTTTCATTATGAATATATTGTCTCTGTGTGGTTTTAAAAATTAAAAAGTTTTGTCTGTTCAAGTAGAATTTAAAATATAATTTTATTATGTCAAAAATAAGCAATGCAAAGTAAAACTTAAACTGCTAGCATTAATACATAGCAATACTCATTTCTACCTATCCATGATGAAATATATTGTTACCTAACATAAATTATATAGTAACCTAGCATTGATCATTTTAACTCAGCATTAATTATATTCTATCTAGCATTAATTGTTTTACCTGGCTTAAAATAAGATTAATGCTTAGTAAAAACTATAATCGATGCTAAGTTAAAAAAATATAATTTTACTTAAGTAAAAATACTTTATTCTAGAGTGGCTTACCATGGTTGAACTTTGCAATCGTAGATTACCCGGTATCTTTTTCCATGGTCCTTTCAGGACTTTGATTTCTCCTTTCGTTTGTTTCGTTTTACCTTTAGTATTGCAGATAATGATTTTTACTTGGAAAACAGTCTTTTAAAATATGAAAAGGAGGAAGAGTTAAGGTGACCGTGTTATACTTAAGCATTTATAAAAAGACTGCAAATTTAAGCATAATATAATTGTATTACTTTACTGCTTAACGAAATTTTTCCATTTTCCCAACTTGTAGATCAATTTTCATCTTTCTAATTTGTGAATAACAAATCTACATCATTTTACAGTTAAACCCCGAGGTATATACATTTACACGATATACATATGATAACCCAAACATTGCTATACGATAACACTTTGTTGCTATGCAATAACACATAAAAGATGTGATAACATTTATATAATCCGCCCATGTTTATAAAACGATATCTAAGAGCTATATCCCGAACTGGGAATGTTGTGGACCACTCTCTAAATTAATAGTAAGTTTATTTTCTTACACAATAAGATCAGTGTTAAAAAAATAATAACTTAAAACTTTTAAACACGTAAATTTGCCAACTTTCTAATTACTTCAGGTATATTCATGCATTTCATTCATGCAGTTTTATGTTTGAAAAGTACGAATTAATCTCTCACAAAGTGCATTATGTAAACGTAGAAACATTTTTTGATCTAAACCATTTAAGATTTTCTGACAATACATGTATCTTAGAGATGCCAAACAGGTACTCTCTCTCTCTCTCTCTCTCTCTCTCTCTCTCTCTCTCTCTCTCCGTCTTATATATGAATATAACTGATTTCAATACAAACAAACGACACTGCTTGCTAACGGTTTGTGTATATATTTAACGTTATAAAAAATATCAGGCGATTTTATCAGACCAACTAGGAATTATCAGCCCAGTGAATGACCTATATCAGTTAGTATTAAGTACTTTCGGATATTGGCACTAGACGGGACAGAGTTTTATCTACTAAACAGATAGTCCTGTCGTGGGTATATTACATCTGTCGTGTTAACGCACAATACAAGGTCTGTGTATCAAATTCAGTGTACAAAATTTCTACTGTTATAAACTGACACAATATCGAGTTTTCGGCGCACAAGAATGAGTCAGTTAATGACTGACTTTTGCTCCTACTGGAATATTTTGTTTCCTTGTATTGGGTCGCTAGTGTTTTTAATTACCTATATGTTGTGTTTTATGTAACGAATTGTATTAACTACCCTTGTAAAATCAACTTTGATAATCACCCAAAAAACTGAGACTCTTCTCTCACACCCCTTTTTCACTCACGGTTAACTTCAACTCACCCCTCGACATTTTTTTAGTATATCAAACACTAGTTTATATCCCATGAATTTTCATAAAACGTTATTCCTCTAATGAAAACGCATTGAATACGATCTTTTTCTATAGCTTGTCTTAACTGCCCCACATAAGAAAAAAAAACCCTATCATCAACCCTAAACTATTATTATTTTAAAAGTAAGGTTTTTGTTTGCGCGTGTGTACAACTTGTGTTTGTCTTAATTCTAAAAGGACGAGTTTGGGTGACAGTTCCAAAACTATACACCACCACAGTGATTTCTATCAGCCGGGGTAGCTACGACAGAAATGGTAGAGTTAATTTTCCTTGTATTTGTTTTATTTACATTGGCAAGATGAAGAAAACTATTTTTTTTTATAACTACTGTTATATGAACTATAAAGTGTCGCGAATATATAAATATACTCAAAACCTTTTTTGGTTGTGGAATCTAATTAGACATGTCTATTATTCAATCACTTGCGATTTCAATTTACTGTTGTACTTGATTCGTTGAAATAAAGACTCTCTTATTCTCTTATTCTGCAAGAAACACGACCCTATACTTCTCGTATTCGTTCATGGGAAAGCGGTTGTCAGACTTAGTGTCTTCGTCCGGTTCTATGCAATTCCATTAGATTTCCCGTAAAAAAAAAAATTTGATGACGTCATTTGAAATGGAAGCAACGTTCGGAAATTCAAATGTAAAAATAGGTATGTTTTGTGTTATCCTGTTTGGAAGAAGATTAGTTATAAATATTTAGCTATCACAGTTTTATGTAGTTATGTCAAATATACTGTAGGCTAGCTATATCTACTGTTTGGACAGAGCGGCATTTAGCAGAGCAAAACTAGAATAGGTCAGAAGTACCCCATGCCTTTGCTTTGTGCTGCTCTTAGGTAACTATGTCCTAATAAAATTTGTTTAATTAAAAAAAGAGAAAAGATAGCAAGGGGACAATCAAAATTCGTGTCCAATAAATACAGACAAAACAAAAGCCAAAAGAAAATTGACACCCCCTTCCCTCAAACGGGGGTGAACTCATGTGCTCTGGAAGAGTAAGCAGTTCATACTCCACTTGTCGTGTTTCTCGTAAAATTACCTATTTAGCTGCTCTGAAAACATATGTGTCCATCGTTAGACAACGACTTGGAAATAGAAAAGAAAGGATATATGGTTCCATCCATGACACAAAATCAGTACATGCACAGCAAAAAACCAAGTTTTGCAATCAGCTGAACATAATTGTCCTTTTAATAACGATTTTAGTCCATGTGTTCTGGTTTGGTGTTTTCTTTTTTAATTAAAAAAAGAGAGGATAGCAAGGAGGTAATGGAAAATCATTAGTCCAATAAAACAGACAACAACATTGCCAAAAAGCGACAAAAAGACAAACAACAACAAACAGTACACAGAAAAATAAAGATTGAGCAACACATATCTCCCTTCAAAAAAACTGGTGTTGTACCTCACTAGTGGCATCTGTCATGTTCCTCATGGAATTAACTCTATGGCCGCACTGATAATATATGTGTCCATCGTTAGACGACGACAAGGAAAGTTTTGCAATCAGCTGAAAATAAATACAAATCTGTGTACAACTGTGTTGTTTACATCCTTATCTGTGTACAACTGTGTTGTTGACATCCTTATATGTGTACAACTGTGTTGTTTACATCCTTATCTGTGTACAACTGTGTTGTTTACATCCTTATCTGTGTACAACTGTGTTGTTGACATCATTATCTGTGTACAACTGTGTTGTTTACATCTGTGTACAACTGTGTTGTTGACATCCTTATCTGTGTACAGCTGTGTTGTTTACATCTGTGTACAACTGTGTTGTTTACATCCTTATCTGTGTACAACTGTGTTGTTTACATCTGTGTACAACTGTGTTGTTTACATCCTTATATATGTACAACTGTGTTGTTTACATCCTTATATATGTACAACTGTGTTGTTTACATCTGTGTACAACTGTGTTGTTTACATTCTTATCTGTGTACAACTGTGTTGTTTACATCCTTATCTATGTACAACTGTGTTGTTTACATCCTTATCTGTGTACAACTGTGTTGTTTACATCTGTGTACAACTGTGTTGTTTACATCCTTATCTATGTACGACTGTGTTGTTTACATCCTTATCTGTGTACAACTGTGTTGTTTATATCCTTATCCGTTGGTCTTGGGAAGATAGTTATCATATTTCTTTTTTTTTAAATGTAACCCAAATGGTGAATGATGTATAGATATGTGGTCACCTTGGTATTCTTACGACCGGCAGGAAAACCCTTGCCAAAGGGGGCGTTCGTTTGACTGTGCGGGTGTATTAATTCGCAGTCACGTCCGATCAGAACTGTACGTTAAATCCAATTCCTCTGTAGGGAGAATACAACGCTATCTGCACGGTAAAGAACCCTTGATACAACTCTTTGAAGTGTCAGTATGTAGCCTGTTTCAAGGCAAATTGTCTGCCCCTATCCAACATACCCTTATTACCAGTGGTAGTCAAAATTATCCGTCTTTCATCACTGTCGTCCCACATTGCAGAACCTACCAATTGTATTCATTGTATAAGTTTCTCGTCCTGAATTTGCATGAAATAATTGCCACTGGATGTTATACAAGCAACATGTATTTCAAGACCTTTTAAATAAAAACGAATAACAGATAATGTCACGGAAAACTTTGTTTGGGGTTGCTTTTTGTATAAGAATAAATACCGCGTATGAATCTCGACTTGTAATGCAAATCATTCAATTAAATATATATTTGGATTAATGTCCTTATTTCGACTTTTTACAATTATAATAGATTTTACAATCTAACACAGACGTACGTTAATAAACAATTTAATCACGTTAGTTCGTCGATTTCTATCTTCCGCAGAAATCAAAATCTAAAAATAAGGAGATGTGGTAGGATTGTCAATGAGACACCTATCAAATAAAAACCAACACATAAAGATATGAACAATAACAGGTCACCGTATGACCTCAACAATGAGCAAAACTCACATTGTACAGTAAGCATAAAAGTCACCTGAATGACAAAATCATAATAAATGTCAAGCAATTTAGAAGAGAAAACCAAATGGGTTCCTTATACTGCTTCTGATATATTTAAACTAAATTGGTTGGAGGTCACTGATTGATATTTTAGTCTGTAGTTGGAATTTGGCTTTGCGAGTACTCTATATGATCGGTACTTAAAGTTTCAAATCATTTTGTAATTTGTTTGTATTTTTGTGCTTTTACAATTTGTGCCGATCTCTATAAACAACATCATCTTAAAAATATGTGTGTAATACTCCGTTTGTGATAAGATTTCTGCAGGTGCAGCCAAACTTCTAAGCCAAATACGTGTAGTAGTTAAAGAACTTTGTAAAGTTTTTTAAAAAGTACCTAGTTTTCATATTTTCCCATTTTTTCGAAATGATAAACCTCTTGACAGGTCTCTTATATTGGGTACCACGACCCCTTTTTGCACCAATAATACAAAAACTTGTTGTAAAAGCTTTCAAATATATATAAGTGAACCAAGGTCGCCATGTATATAGGTGATTATAACAGCCCATGTCAATCCGACCTTCATAGTTCTCCGAAATTATCTTTAGACCGAATTACCACATTTATATAATGACACATATATTTTTTATGATCTTTTTCTCTTTGGTTTCTCTTTATGTCAACTGCAATAAGAATAGAACAGATTTGTCTGAAAAGGTTTCAAGGTCAAAGCAGTAAATGTTTGTCCTATACAGTGCACTATAGAACTACAGTGTTATGCAATAAGTATTCTACACCTACAAGTCTTAGCTTTATCTTTCATATAAAACTATATGCTTTATTATAGTATTTCTATAGGTCATTTCCTGTGGGATTCTAATGAACTTAGTACCAACAGGTTTATTTGTTTATTAGGTTATATTTTTGTTGTGAGACGTTCACAATATCAAGATAGATATATATAGATAGTTTATTCTCATAAAACCATGCGAGAATAAAGGTTACAGAGAAGTTAAAATAAATCTGATGATATCCATACAAGTATTATTTGTTGTCCGGATATTTGCTCCATATATATTTCAATCAAATTAAATTGCACATGTTAACATCAGAAGACGAGAAAAACAACGGAAGACAAATATATGACATGTGTCTTTCGACACATGGTTTTGTTAAAATCCAACCATAAATAACAAAAAGATATTTTTTGAAAAAAAACTTAGTTATATGAAATATAGAGCAAACAACTGTAGGTGAAGAGGACTTATTGCATAACAAACTGTATATCTTTGTTATCTATCATGATATGAGAGCAGCTGAGGTACTAAATGAAAAAGTACTTAGCTACCAATAGATAAGATATATGATAAAGCAAATAGGGATATGTTATTCCATCATGTGGATTTTTATTTTATTTGTTCTAAGTTTTCGCAGTTTAAACATATTTGATATGCACCAAAAAACTTTCTTTTGCATTAGTAAGATTGAACATCAATTTTCTTTAAAATTATGGACGCAAAGTAGCATTTATCATGGCAATTTTCTGGGTTTCCATTTACGTATTCTAAATATCAAGTTCAATTTTATTGTTCTAATTTTTTTCTTGATGAGAGCAAACGTTCATCTTTTTTAAAAACACCTCTAGTTCCCCATCATATTTGTAGCTTGATGACACTATTCATTGTTGAAGGACCAAATGCAGTTCTTGATTTTTCATAACTCTTAAATATTGCAAAGGTGTAAAATTCAACTTAATATTACATGTAACAAGACATTTAATCTTGAATTTGTCTTTTGATTATTATACATAATTTGTATAATTTCAGATAAAGTGTAGTGGGATGATAACACCTGTTTCATGTGTTTTTGAACGGAGATATGAGACATGAACATATTTCACTGTACAACGATAAGGCAGCTATATCCTGCTATATATGGTTATCATTGTTGACCTCACGAGATATTGTATGCAGTTCTCCAGAAATGTTTGTAACACCATATCAATAGGCTGTTTCGAGTCATTTAGGTAGGTTGATGTGGTAACGATATCCGAGACTCTACAATAGAATATTCGTTTCCAGACTCTGTCGTGGTACAGATTACCTCGGAACAACTTGTGAAATGGACGAACACGAAGAAACAGATGTTCCAAAAGCTGCACTTGTAAAAACTGAAAACGTTTCTGGTGATAGCCATCTAGCGTGCACATCTCCTGACAACGCCAGTAGTCTTACGATTGACAGCGATGATGATTTTTCCAATGAAAACGAAGATGAAAATTTTGAGGCTTGGCGAGCGACAGAAAGACGATTATCTACAGCGAACGACAGCGAAGTTTATGACTGTGAGGAAGATCTTGGTATTAACATGGAAAACAAGAATACCCAAAGGAAGACTGATACGGATATTCGTATTTTCATAACATACCTAAGATCAATCAACGAATTCCGCGGACCAGAGTTGATTCAACCTGTCCATCTCGATAGATATCTGTCAGCATTCTTCTCAGTAGTCAAGAAACACGACGGTAACGAGTACGAACCCGCCAGTTTAAGAGGAATGCTCTGCAGTGTAGAACGATATCTTAAACTAAAGAATTATCCACAATCTGTCACCAGGGATTGTGTTTTCGTAGGGACAAGAAATGCTTTGAAATACAAACAACAGAAACTAAGGGAACTTGGTAAAGGCAGCAAAAAGCAACCGGAACCTTTCGGTCGGCTAACTTTGGAAAAGGTCAACCATTTGTTTTCTGCACATGAAATGGGACCATACACTCCGATGTCAGTGATAAATACACTGTGTTTCTTGTTTATTGTTCATTTTAGGTTAAGGAAAGCTATAGACCACAAAAATCTTCTGTGGGGTGATATCAAACTTAAAACTAACCAAAACGGAAAGAAGTACATGATTTATGAACCAGTAGATGTCCAAAACTCTATTGCACATAGTAAATATGATCACCATGGGAACAGACTGTGTATCTGGGAACAACCGGAAATTCCTGAAAGAGACCCAGTTGCAATTTACAAACTGTATGAAGAGAAAAGACCACAAAACATGAAATATGAAAATTCTCCATTCTATCTAGGCATAACTAGTATGCAGCCTATTCCTTTGCAGTCATGGTATCGAACATGCGCGATGGGAGTCAATAAATTGAGCGATCTTGTCCGAATGATTCGCGACATTACCGGTCTTCCACGTGCAACAATGAATGCTCCTACAGAGTTCATTCTGTCTGAGAGTTACGGAATGGTGTCCAGCTCAAAACAAGATAAAGTTCAATCTAATTCTTCAATGCAGATCACAGACAGTAAACATTCCAAAATGTTTTGTCAGACATTTGATTCCCCAACACTTGTACCGGACAGAGTTAAAACAGAAATCGATTTATCAGACAAGGACATAAATGATAGGCCGACACTTTGTTCTAGAGTTTCCGAAGATAGTTACCAGAATGACGTTAATAGCGAGGGAACTGTTAAAGATATGAATGGTCAAATGTCCGACGATACTGAGGATTCGGACACTGTTGAAGAAATATACGGTAAGTACTACAAGCTTTGTTTGTATTTGTATATATCCTGTTATCGTTTGTAACACAATATTTATGTCGGTTTTAAAAGCGAAATCCTTGATAAACTTACCTTTGACAATATGTAATACAATAAACGTAGAATCTTTGCGGGCATTTTGTCTTCCCTACCTTTTTCATTTATACCCTGTTCTATGTAATCATTCGCTAATGTACTGGTGAGTCGTTATTATTTCCTTTGTGCTTTACCAATATATTTAAAGGTATATACAGATTTGATATTCCGACTTATATTAATAAATTTACATCGGACCAGCAATATCTGGAAATAATCATACAAATAATTTGTTCGTGTGAATGTTACCTATTTTCTCATTGAAAGATATCATTCGTACTAGATCCCATACAAAGAAAGATTGTCTCAACAATTACACTTTAAGATATCGCATGTATAGGACATTATCAAAAAAATTGTTTGTCATCTTTGACTATCCGAACTTTTGACTCGTAGTGTTTAGGGTAAATATTGATCAAGAACAGTGTTTCTAAAGCATCAAATTCAATAGCTGTTTTACCTATAATCTTATTGGTTGACTAAAAGTCCTCTGTGGTATAATCTGCCAAAGTAGTTAATGCTTTGACAATGATGATAGTAATTAATATTTTAGGAAGAAGTGTTTAGACTGACACTCTCTAAACAATTAAAAGTGTCCGTGAAGGGTAAATATTTATGGTGTTCCTTAGATCACGAAATTTGCGAATATTGCTATAAAACTACTTCTTAATATAGAATAAAAAGTATATATCACTGACCTACTTTCAAGCTACTGGTTGTGAACAATCTCTTTTTTTGCTATTATAATACTGGAGAGAAGCACTAATTTTGTGACTAGAAAAAACCTTAATGCCAAGAATCCTAAAATAAAATACGACAAGATATAGTAGCTCTAGTTGAATACTTACAGAAAATTCAAAAGAAAAAACATCGTTCAGCTTTTTTTATAACAAAATAGTTAAATCTTTAATACAATATATCTGTACAGTATATAGAAAGATATTTTCATTTTTTTTCAATTTTTTAATAAATCAAAAGCTTTCATAATTTTTTTTTAGGTTAATATCACAAGTCAACACAAAATAATGTTAATGCCTTCGGTTTTCTGAAGGCACACAAATAAATTACTTTCAATGATATCAAAATTTACGACTCTCGTCTGGTGCAGTAAAATTGGTACCGTTTATGTAATTCCCGACCTTTTTCAATCATACTCCCGTACTACCCTAAGAGCTCCACATTTAACCTTTCTAAATTGTTCGCAGGTACAAGGATGCTGTCATTGGTAGATGCAAAAACAAAAGTTAGAGAACTACTGCAGCGATTAGATGACAATGACAGACTAGAACTCAAAAAATGGATCAGATCCTTAAATATCAACACATTAGAAGGTATATACATTAATACTGCTTACTCTATAGTTTAAAGTTTAACAAAGCTAATGTATTCATCGATGGCGCTTTTGAATTTTTATACATATAACTACAAAAAACTTGTTTCAATAAAGCCAGCTGTGTGCTTCTCTTTTAGCCTACATAGCCTTTCTGTGGCAATCTGCGTACATGGTCTTCTCAATAATAATTAAAGAAGGAAGCACTATCATTTAATTTCACGTTCCGCTTTTTTTTCATGATTTTAATCAAATCTATCCATTGGATTTGAAATATAATAATCATTCATCTAAAGTTTGTGTATTTAACGTTCAATATGATATGATTTTATTTTTAGCTTCAGAAACTGAAGAAGCGACAAAGGCAGATGTAAAATCAAAGATTGCGACGCCAAACCCATCCTTTCCATCAATTACACTTAATATCAAAATATCTCCTGACGCTTTGACCGGAGGCAATCCACTGTCTGTGGTTGCGGACTTTAAACCCGTGAATGAACCAAGTCAGCCTCTTATAAAACCGTCGGGTGAAAAACGAAAAGCTGAAACAACAGAAAATGATGGCAAGCGCTTGAAAGACATTGACATTAGAAACCCGGTGAATTTAACTTCGGAAAGTTCAAAACGTCTACATGACAAAGGTTCAAAAACATGTGAGAACTTCAAAAATGTCGGAAGGATGTCCGGTAGCTCAGGCAACACAGCAGTTGTGTTTCCAAGATCAGACAAAATAAACTCAGAAACCGTCAGTGCTAAAAGTCAAAACAATCCAAACTGCGAAAGTGCAGCTGCAAGTGGTACAAAAATAATGCCAAGACACCAAAGCACTTCTGACAATCTAGGATATATTGTTCCAATGTCATATCCATACATTGGTCCAAATTGTTTTTCTCAAGATCCCAGGGTATTGATGAACGCTGCAAATGTCATTCCACAAATGGCTCACTCGGGTGTAAACACTTCGTTTTCATTTCTACAGTCTACTTTCGGTAGGAATGCACCAAAGGCACCAACTCAACAGGATATAGACAATAATAATGAAAGATTTGGTTGACAGTAATTCATTAATTGCAAATAAAATTCTTTGACACGACTAAATGCCAATGGGACAGATGTACCTTGTTCTTAGTTGATTCATATGTCTCAAAATTAATTTTATTCACTTTTATTATATAACCTTAACCGTTTACGAACTTTCGATGGCTGATGAAAGTTAACTTCGTCTGTTCTATAATCGGTTGAAATTATACTGATTTTATCAAGTTCCTTTGGCGATCTTCGTTGTTGAGGCTTTTGTTGTTTGTTTTATGTTCTCGATGTAATTTTATTTGGCTTTTTTTCAAAACTTTTTGTTAAGAGCATATCTGATGAATAGTATTGCAGAAACACATCATCGTCGTGCGTACGGAAATCGGTGTCCATAGTTTGTTTTTGCTATGATTATATAATGGTCATGAAAAGCAAAATGAATTATGACTTCATATAAAAAAATCACCAAAAATATAAAGGAAAAAGTTTGCTTACATGTACACATAAAATGAGGAATATATTCCTCTAGAGTATCTAGTGCAATACAGTTCTCTTCTCTCGACAGTTTGATTTCAAACACGTGAACGCTTTACAAGGCATGCGTTGTCTCAAGTTAACAAATATTGTGTCTCAGTGAAAGCTGAAGTTAAACTATTCTCAAGATAGAAACCAAAATAATCACTGAAATAAGTGCACTGCTATACTATATTTTGAACAACGCTGTCTTGATTGTTTCACGTAGAATTGTTTTTCTATATATAATATTAAGCCACTTTGTAACATCAGAGAGAATATATAAGTTCGAAGGTTTGAATGAGTACTATAATTAAGTTTTACAGTTGAGTAAAGTACATTATACTTGGTCAGATCATATCTAAAATTTGGTAACATTAACTGTGCATAAGAGTTCAGATCGACGTTATTTAGTGTCTTGATGCTGTCACATGCCTGGTAATATATATTCTGTTTTTTGTTTTTAATTTTGCTGTTATTTTTGTTTTGTTTTTGTTTTTTTGTTTTTTGTTTTTTGTTTTTTGTTTTGTTTTTGTTTTGTTTTGTTTTGTTTTGTTTTGTTTTTTTTGGGGTTTTTTTTAGGGAATGGGGGGTTATTTTGGGGACTCTTTGCTACTGATATACAAAATAACAACATGTTCATATATATATGTGTGTGTGTGTTTATACTAGAACACACCCGCGACATGCGGGTCAGTGACTGAATTAAAGTACCTATGCCTATTTTTTTAGCCTGGATTTTTAGTATTCGTATTGTCATCTGATAAGATCATACTGATCGTAAGGTGCACAGTTTTCTCTGCTTTCAAAATCTTTCTGGTTGAACCCGTCCTGGTTTTCTTACTACAATAAACTTATAAACTATAAACTACATTTAATATTTTAACCAATTAACCAAAATTAATAGTGGTATTGAGGTGGAAGAAAACAGACTTGTTAAATAGTGTAACATAGTGTAACATATAAAACAACCACAGGAAGAATTCCAGGTTCACCTGATAGAGGAGGGATTTACAGAAGGTACCAGACGACATATAATCTTACTAATAGTTTTGTTATACACATATGCACTTTAACGGTACTACAATCTGTCGATCGTTTGGCATTTTGGCATTGCACAAGGTCATGTTTTTCTCTGACTGTTAATGACGTCTTTACACTAAATCCATTGGATGTTGGATGTGTAATGATTGAAATTTTAGTCTTAGATACATGATTTTTGTATTAGTTGTTATTTGCTATGGACTAGCTGTCAGTAACTGCGAGTACTCTCAGATCTGTACTTAGTGTCCTTTTTGTTGTAGATTTACAGTGTTGAATAGGTAACCTTTTAGAATAAGTTTATTTAAAGGATTGATAAGTTTACCTGGATCGAATCTATATTTCATAAGCCTTTTTCAACTGATTTTTATAGATTTTTCTTATGTTGTGCTGTTACGTCACTCTCCCATGTTATAGGAGGGTTGAGCGCTCATAATTATTTTTATATTGGTATCAGTATCGGATTCGACCCGGAGCTTGTTAATTATTGGTAATATTAATTATATGGAAAACAAAAGGGCCTGGAATGGTGAATTTTAAACAACACCATTGTTCTATATTAAATATATATAAAGTTGAATTCGTCGTGTTACGTCATGCCGGCTAACAAATTGGACCTCGATATTTTAGTAGTATAGATATATTAGATCTTTGTTATATTGTTAAAAGAGAAGGAATAATACTTCTTATCATGGAAACGTGAAGATATGTCGCTTGTTTATTTAAATCAAAGCATTTGAAAAGCTCGAATTTTTGGAGAAACAGATGCCCCTCGATTTTTCATATGAAATTTAGAAATAAGTGTATATAAGTTGAGCCACGCATTAAATTTTCCGACGAGTTTTAGTCAGTGTGAATCAAAGAGAAACAGTTCACCTAGAATTGATTTATTTAAGAATCACAATAAAAGACAAAACTGGAATAAATATTTAAGCAACAATTATTTCTTCATTATCACTATTATCTTTGATAGAGTCACTGTCCAAAACGGATGCACTGGTTTCTTTTGGGTGGCGGGAACGAATGTGTCTTTCCAAATCCCGTCTACGCACGAGAACTTTATTGCAAAATTCACATCTGTACGGGGTCTCTCCTTCTGCATGAAGACGCACGTGTTTGTTTAAGTTGCTGGGATCACCAAAAGGACGTAAGCAGACCTTGCATTTTAATGGTTTATAACCTGTATGTGTCCGAAGGTGTATCTTAAGTCCATACTTCCTGGAGTAAAATTTGCCACAGAAAATACATATATGTCCACTTTTACATTTTGTTAAAAGCGATTTTGGTAAAATGTCTAAGGGTTCTCCTTCCATTTCCGACGGTAAAGGAACAACACTGTTTCTTTTAATGTCTTTGTTTTTACAGACAGCTTCAGGATCATGATCAGTTCCATTGGATGCTGGAGATGTTGGTATCAAATTATAATAAAGATTTGTACAATGTTGAAAAGGAAAGAAATGTGATTGTGCTGGACTGAATGTTATACCTTTGGGAGGAGACAATCTTGCGTTATGTTCAAAACAGTCATTATGTGGTGACATGCACATTTGATCGAAACGCGAGTGTGGTGACTTTGATGACAAGTGTGTCATCCAAGCATTTGTAAAACACTTATCTTCTTTGATATAACCCGTTGTATGATTTCGAAAGTACTGTGTGTAGTCCGTTTTTGGTATGCAAGATCGTGAGCTGCTGCAACCTAGTGTTAGGAATGGATTCCACTGATGCCCGTAAGGGTTTAATGGTTGGATTTCTGCTTCCTGTGTTCTACATCTGAACATCATGTGAGATTTAAGTGGATTTGGATATCTATATGACAATTGGCATTTGTCACATTGGTATTGCTGATTACCTGCAAAGATAGAAATGTATTTTGAAAAGAGATACAAAATGTAGCTTTATAGATGGAAATATTCGTCGACATATTGGATGGAAACTGAATACCATTTGCTGATATGATTATAAGTGAGGTTTTATAGAGGAGTTGATATTAAAATGGTAACAACGTAACTTGATGTTAAACATATATTAGTACATGTACCAGAAATGTTATCAAGCTGTAATGAAAAGAAAAAAAACATGTGACATAAGCAATTAAACGTTCGATATATTTGTTAAGTTTTCCAGCTTTCTCTATTTTGGTTTAAACAATACTTTATCCAATGAATTCTTTCTATTTGTTTTATTGTCTTTAAAAAAGGGAGGTGTGGTATGATTGCTAATGAGGTAATTGTCCATCAGAGTTCAAATGACATTGATGTAAGCAACTATAAGTCATCCTTTACTTGAGCTGATGTGAACCTTTGCGGGCTATTCGCTTTTCTACCAGGATATTTTTTTTATTATAGTAATGTCAGTGATTACTCTTGTCTTACTAAGGTCCAATAAAGATTATTATATATTTATGAATCTTGCAGTGATAAAATAAAGATTACAGCTTTCGAGAAGTCAATAATGTAGAGGGGGGATACCAAGTGGACAATCAAAAATCATAAAAGAATAGAAGAAAAACATAAAATTCCATGACCAAAAGAAAAAAAGACGAACAGACAACAGTCAATAAAGCACTACACACTTTATAGATTGAGAAACACGAACCCAGCCAAAAAGAATTGGAAGAAGGAAGACAACTCGGGGATTTTTTACTGTGTCGCGACTAACTATGATATATATTTAATTATGCCGAGTCTAAAGTATAATATATACTGTTATAAAACTTCTGTGTGTGTGGTATGGGATATCTCTTTTGTTCTTATAAAAGGTTAGTGATCTGTCGAAGAAGGTGGTTTATTTTCTGAATCATCCAGTAATTTATTGCAATAACACTGATATGTTGTTAATATGAAAATACCAATATTTACAATAATTATAAATTGTAAAATTTTGGAAAACTGGAAGAAGAATGAAACAGTTTACTTACGTACTATGAATTTGACATACGACGATTAAGACAATTCTTTTGGGCTATATTCCAGTGTGGTATATTCACGCAATGAGAAAATATTAGTTACAGCAAGATATTTCTTAAGCTTTCAGGAATACTTATCTACGAGAATGAGACAGTCCTCAGTGTTATCCCAAACATGAACTCCATAACGAAATAAACATAGAAAAAAAACGGGAGGACATTTTTTTTACTGAACCCTAAAAAGACTTAATAGTTTTTTCAAAGAGAGGCGAAAGATATCAAAGGGATAATCAAACTCATAAGTCGAAATTAAACCGACAATGCCATGGCAAAAAATGAAAAAGACCAAAAGGCAAAGAACAGTATAGTAAACACAACATAGATAACCAAAGACTGAGCAACACGAACCCGGGGTGATTTCAGTTGTTCCGGAAGGGTAATCAGATCCTGTTCCACGTGTGGCACCCGTCGTGTTGCTCATGAAGCAAAGCCGGAGATAAGTCTCATTCGGTAGGTCATATTCGGGAAAAAGGAGGGCGGGATTGTGGTTACGACGATTGAAACATATCCGTCGTCATCTGTGAAACAGATATTCCGTAAGGTTCAACCAACTCTTGATGTCCGTAAAATTTTCGAAAGGATAATTTCAATTTCACCATTAGGAAATCTTGGTTTAATAGTAGTTTTCAGAGAAAAATTAGTTCAAAGATAGTTTTTGTCGCGATATAGCCTTTTTGTGCTGAGGCGGTGTAAAGCAAACGCCAATCAATCAATCAATCAATCAAAAATACTACAAAAGGATGATAGAAATTTCAATGTTCTTGTTTATACGCACTTTAATGAAATTGTAATGACTGAACTAATTTATAAGTAACTTCGTTGAAACATGCACAACCCGTCACATGCTGTTGTTCAGTGGTTGTCGTTGGCTGCTGCCTGACATATATGTTTTTCGTTTATTATTTTGTTATAAATTAGGCCGTTGGTTTTTCGTCTGGATTGTTTCACCTTTTGTCATGTCGGGGATTTTTTTATAGCTTGACATATGATATTAGTTTTGCTTATTGTTGAAAGCCGTTCAGTGACCTCTATTTCATTAGGACTCTTTAGATATTTGTCGCATATGTAATCATACCAGTGACATCTTATTTTTATATTTGCAACATTCTCGTAAATAAAGATTACCTTGTAATAACCAGAGAACTTTCTTTCATAATAAATTTTATATCATGTAAATTATGTGAAAAAATTGATTATTCTAATGTCATATTTTCCCCTAAAGTATTTTAAAATTATAATTATGATAATAATAATAGTAATAATAGTAATACTAATAAGAATAATAACCAAACAAATGATAATAATAAAATTTTTGAAAAAAAGTAATAATTATAATAATGAAGATGATGATGGTACCAGGTGGTGATATTAATTTATGATGGCGTTCAATGTGCTTTTTCATTGAACTGTTAATAATTTCTTGTCAAATTTCAGCTATTTTAAATTAAAAAAAAATACAATTTTCATTAAAAAAATCACAAAAACATATCGACTTGCTTCTTTTGGTTCAATGTATCATAATTATGAAATATTAAATATGGAAAAAGAAATATATATTCCAAAACTTTCATTCTTTTGCTGTAATTAAAAATTTAAAAAAAACTCAGGATTCAAGCATTGAAATAAAGATTATGATGAAAATAAGATATAAAAATAAATGATTTATTCTGACATTTCCGAGTCAGAATCTTATTTATATCTTACCGATAATGTTTTGCAGTGACAAAAAAGGAACTCCACTTTCCCTGGCTAATGGTTCGCTGAACCATGCGTATAGCTGTTCTCCCATCTTTAGTTTTCTTGTAGTCCGGAGATAGATGGTACCAGTTCGGTCTTTATAGAACTCGATATTCTGCTCGTGTCGGTCTCGTGCAGGCTGGACATATTTTATCCACTGATTGGATGATTCAAAATCAAGAGTTATCCGCCCATCTTTGTGCTTCACCTGTTAAATAAAATCTTTTGATAATTGTTTGACTGGTGATTTAATGTTTTCCTTATAAATATTTAAAATTAGTATTAAATGAGCACGCGACTAATAAAAATTCTTTAACTAAATGATAATCTGGTAACAAATAAAATATTTCAATTTTAAATCCGCTGCTTAATTATTTATTTGCTTATTTTAATGAAAGTCTTTCATTTATACTTTCAAATACTTCAGCATTATTTACAGAAGACAAGTTACATGTTGAAGCACGGGTTTAAGTTTCCTTTAAAAGGCGTAACAGGAGCCAGGATGTTGCCAAATTTTGAGTGTTGGCAGACAGATATTTGCTAAAGCGATCATCTTCAAGAGTATCGAGAAATCTAAGCCGATTTGTTTCATTTTTAACAGTATCTTATCCTGCACTACGCGCGACAAATAAAATCTATTTCAATTTATACATTGACTGTTACTACGTTTCGTTACCACTGGAACCAAGACATCTGTCCAAGCAATGTATTTTTGGGAAAAAAATGTAGTTAAACAACCCCTGATTTATCAATGCATAGCTCTTGAAAAAAAATGTTGAACTTAAGATAGATACCAACAATTATCTTTATTTATTTAAGAAAGTAAACTTTTTATTTAATTATTTGATCATTTCATTCCTTTTTATTAAATTCTATCCGATATATATTTCTATTTAAAAGATCATGGCTTTCACTTGCATTCGAAAACATGTCTTTTCATGGAATTCCTGAAATAGTAAATCATCTTCTGGAAATTTTTAATTTATAATTTAAGTAGACGTCAAAGGTTCACAAAGAACTTGACATTTACGAGACCTTTCTTAACCTTGGTCGTTTCCAAGGAAGCACGTGCGCTGTAACAACATTTGAACTCTTGATGGTAACCTTCAATTAAGGTCCGCATGTAAAGGTAAAAGATTAATTTTAGGACAAAAGTTAATAACATACTTGTCATATTTCAACGATGAGTTTGTTATCTCCTTAAGTACGGAACATGACAAATTAGAAAATACAGCAAATAGTTTGACGTTTCTTGTGTAAATAATTGCAATAAGTGGGCGGATAAATTTCGCGTTTAAGTGTCGTGCAGATCATGATAATGACAATTTACATTGCAAATTGATCCAGCAACAGCTACTAGAAAAACTTGAGAGAAAGTGTGTCCACAAAATTTAAAAGCAGCGAACATAACTATATAATAGAGGTGTATAAAACAGACGTTCAGGTATAAACATAACAACCACTTAACTCGTGAATGATTTAATCAGTGATGTCATTTTAACCGTAAGGTGTACTCGATTAAGTAAACTACATTCGATTTTTTTTACCATAGCACACAATTAGTCAAATAGGCATGCGTGCATTGGTTGAAGCTAACTCCTATGGTTGTTAGGTGGGGGGATGACTTTGGGCTAGAGACACACTTTTAATTTGCAGCTTCATTTTGATTTTTCCTAAGCTTTTCAGCAAGTTGATTCCAATGGCATTTAGGGGCATGGGACAGATTGGAGACTCTATGACTTTGGTTTCTACAGAGTTTTATTCCATAAAAAAATATCGCTGGGGTAAAAGTTATTAAGACAATCCAATAACGTATGTTTACCACAGATAGCCATACTGTCTTCAATGATAGACAGGTACACAAGTAACTTTAATGTTCGCTCCTCTGTCTAAAAATAACAAGCTTTTTAAAAGACTGTTATAAATTGATATTATATAAATAACGGAACTTAAAAAGTAGGAAAAAGCTACAGGTCCGTGTCCTTGTTTTTGAAATATAATCAATTAAAAATTTGGCGGGAAATGATTCTCTCTTGATTTTTCATACATTTGACATTAGCACCTTGGCACAAGGATTTTATAAGATTTTCGAAAATGGCTTTTTAAACTAAATGTAATAAAATCATGAAAAGAAAAGTAGGGATTAGCGGGCAAAATCTTTATTTGCACTACATGGATAAAACTAAAGGATTCAGAATATCTGACAAAAAGTCAAAAACCATAGTAGAGAACATCCTTGGATACGGCAAAAGCGAGACAAGTTCTGAGAAAGTTCACAGAGACACCAAAGGTTTACTCTGACATGTGTTGAACAGACAACAAAAAAAAACGAGAATTTGACAAATAATGGCGAGATTGGTTCTTCGCGTGTCTTCCCATATCCGCTGTGGTCATGTAGAACAGTATCAAATTCTTCAAAAATCTATGTGCAACACATTTTAGACTTGATATATCTAACTTCGCACTTATATAGCCCTATGAGCATCACTGTTATTTTATTTCTATTAGAGACTTAAATTTTTTCACAGAAGTGGTGAGTTTGAATGTGCACGAGACCATAACAGACTAAATGCTATGATAATAATCAATGTATTGCAGGAACAGTGCTTTTATTGATGTTCTGCATTTAGACATTCTGTGTGAGGGTCTACGATACTGACTGACATGAACAAACGGGTGTTATTTTGTTGAAATTTGCTGTTATCAAGTGTTGTATATCATTTAAAATTAAGGAATGTATGTCCCTCAAGCATAGCTGATTCCGTGTCTGAGTTTGGCTTTACTTTTGGTCCTGTTTGGTTTTGTCACTAAAAGAAGTTTTTGTATGTTTCATCAAGTTATATAAAAATAAGGAGATGTTGTATGGGAGCTAGTGAGTTAACTGTCCACAAAGGACCAAAGGACAATGATATGACAACTACAGAGCACCGTACGACCTTCAACAATGAGCAATACTCGTACGTATGGTTAATTTATTAGAATACATTTTAAAAATAAAAGTTATGTCTGCTAACCTTGTGCATGAGATACGTCAACTGCAGACTTTGGAAGTAAATAGAGATACTCTAATTTTTCCATATAAATTTTACTGGTAAGAAATATTAAACATATGTTCATATATGAAAACAAAATATTAGATTACCATAATTCATGCATCATTTTCGGTTAAAAAAAAAGAATAAAAAAGAAATATCTTTCAACAAATTTTCTTCTTTTGAATTCAAATTATTGTTAAGAACAAGGACACTGAGATTTTTTAGTTTAAGTTAGATCAAGATGTTAATAATACTTTTATCTGTTTCCAAAATAAATTCAAAATTTTCTAGTATCTATCTTCTGCTTAAATTTATGAATAAAATCATGTTTAGACTAAAACAGAAAACGGAGGTATTCCACATGAACTATTAGATTCAACTTCCGACGGTGAACCGCCTAATACTTGGTTTTGATATCAGTAATCACTTCTTTGATTAAATATAAAAATATTTTTTAAAAATCATCATTTAAAACGGTCAGTGGTTGTAAATTTGAATGCAATTAGTAATATGTTTTTGAATGAAGAATAAAAACTCGGACACGAATGCATTTCCTTCGTATAAACGTATTGCATGAATTCGATTTTTTTTTCTCGTCTTGCAGTTCATCGGGTGGCGATTTTCAACCAATCCGTCTTTTAAAAACTACTTTTAAATAGAATTTCCAAAAAATTCTTTAAGATATATCAAAACAAAATAATACTTTTTAATTTCATATTGTATTCATTTTCCGTAAAAAAAAATATTTTTGTATATATTTCAGTAAGGATTTATTGTGAAAAAAGACATTTAAAACGTATAAAATCGTATGAATTTTGGAAGGGCTGTAAAGTAATATGTTAATCAAATTTGTAACAGCATAAAAGACTTTTAATAAAACTTTTCAGTTTAAAAAAGAAATTTTATTCTAAATGTTTCAAAGTAATTTTGAATTCTTTTTGATATAGTATGTATCTATGTGTTATTATTATTTCATTTATTAATTCTAGTTGATAAAAAAACATCACATTTTATTTCTTTTGATTCTATTTTAACATAAGTTAACATACCTCTATGATATAATCTATATTTGGTTCGTCAAGAGAATTCTGTCCCAATTTGAACTCCCCGGGATGTGGACCAGCAATACAGTTTTCCGGAATATCAGTTGCGGCTATAACCCCTGTATTATAATCACTAGGGTTGCCGTTCGTATGTTTCGGACCAGTACCACCAAGCATTATGAGCAAATTTTGGAAATAACCGAGGAGTCTGCTTTATATAGGCGTATTTTCTTATTTTATTGATGTATCTGAAAAGTGGGAACTAAAACATCTGTGAAAGCGTTTTTGTGTTTCCATGACAATTGAAAGTTTTCTACCACAATTCAAGCTGCGACATTCCATAGAAAGTAGCTTTACGCGCGTGCGTACTGATATTGGAAACGTATCACTGGACGATAAGAAGCATGTATGCTAATAATTACAAATATAATTAATCTTATACTTTATTTTTTATTATGATGAATGTTCAGATTTCCTTTAGCTAATTCTTTTATTTAAAGTATTTTTTATTTAAATTTCGTTAAAACTTCTTTTGATTTTTCCCAATAAGGGAATTATAAAAATTGTAAATATTATGATAAAACTGGCTATTGAATATTTTGCCGCATTAATCTTTTTCATCTGCAAATCAAACAATTTGGTGACAGATAAAGAATCGGAACAGACCAATTAGTTTTATTGAAATCAGCTACTAGACTTTAAATGAAACATTTTGTATACATCTTAACACTTCAATTTTTTTCATTCCAATCTTGTAAAAATGTATGCATATTACAATTAGACATTCCATATGACTTTGGGGGAAAAACAGTTTCTTACATTTTATTTGTAAAAGAGTATACGTAACAAAGCCATCTACCGTCAATCAAATATATATTTATGTTTCATGACGGTCGGTCATTCTAATTTTGAAGGTATATAGATTATTGATAATTGCAATACTAGACTGACAAAATATGGGAATCAATGTTATCAATTATAAATATCAGTTGCAATATTTGACGAAGCATTTGAATGTAAAGATGGATATACATTTATTTTCGGCCTTTGTACAAGACATTAAAATAACACTTTATAAATGTCGTACTTCCGAAGCCTTTTCAGGATTTACCTTAATCAGGAACAGTTAACATGAACATGTGAAAGCAATTGGTGTTTAAATACGTAGAAACTTTGCATGTAGCATATTACCTCTAAGGACATCCAAATTCGTAATGAAGAGCATGTATGCTTGTTTGTTGTATACATTACAGTAAATTATATATAAGTTATCCATTTCTTTCTTTGTCAGATTTTTAAACAAACATGATTTCAATGTAAACTCAGTGTTTTTCAATCTGATCAAAATTCTGATTCATATCAACTCGCGTGCTCTTATATACTCATATGAGTAAAACCAAATCAGAGAACTATATTTTAATTAGATTGACTGTTTTTACACTTCCGAAAAGAAAAGGAAACAAATATATCGGGGTTTTATTCAGATTTTTAAATTTCCGATACTAGTTAGCTTCAAAATCAAGATTGTCCTTTATTTTCGCTGTAATAAAAATTAGAGCACCCGACTGAGCAACTGTAGTTAAGAAAGAAATTGCGTGTAGCGCACGTGTGAGTATTTGTTTTCAGTGTTGACTGTCGCTGATTGGTCACGAATCGTTTCTTCAGCGCGTGCTCAGCTCGAGGAGACATGCGTCCTATGGATACAAGCAATAGTTAAATATGGTTTCATATAATTTTCCGTAAGAACCTGTTTGCAATTTTTCAAATTTATATGACTTTAATTGGGAAAAATTGTCAGGGATGTGGAGGGCGATTTTTGTTACATATAAATAACATGTGTTAAGCAGACGACACTTTCTCACCATTTTGTCACTTATAAGACAGGTACATTATATTTCTTGCTAAACCGGTGAATCTATTTTTTTGTAAAAAAATAATGTTCAAAAGGACACTTTTAAATAACAATAATAACAATTACGATAATAATAATCTGTATTGTCTTAAAAGCATGAAAACAGAATTCAAATTACATAAAACATATACACAACAAATTTTAAAACAATCGGTTCATCAAGAGTTCCTTGTCAGAAGTTCCATTGAAGGATCATGGACTTTGTAGACAGTAACATTTTTTAAAAGTGTAACTCATTATGCCAGGTTAGACAAGTAATTGCTTCTTAAATTTTCATTTCTTGCGCAATGGAAGAAGAAATGATATTCGGCATGTACATCATAACTAGAGCAAAAATTACATATTTTAAGATTACGAGGTACTTTTTTTATATTTAACCAACTCAAATTTCATATCATAATTACATATTTTAAATTTTGTGACAAGTTTTCGAATTTCAAAGTTGGAATGTGATAATAAAATTCTCTCTCTGAATTTAGTTTAAGACACTTGTATCTAGAAAGAGTTGACTTTGTTCATATAGGTTTTCAATATTGTTCTTATTAAGACTTTTGTATTTATTAGAAATTCTTACCTTTATAAAATGTTTCAGATGTTTTGCATGAAGATAACTTTTTGCATTCAACTGTCTCAATTTATTTTTATAACTTGGTAGATATGTTTGCCAAGCACTTGTTTAGCCAGTTTTAAGAGAATACCATCTTGCCAAAAACTGTTATATGCTCCTTGAAGTCCACAATACATTCATATATCTTTTGATTATTTTTATGCAGATATCTTAATCTGAGTTGCCGATATAAAAAAACTGTCAGATGTCCTATGGTTTTATCTGAAACTGAAATGAGAGACAGAAATTTAAGCTGCAGTCTTTTTGCGCAAACTGCTAGTTTCAAGTATGCGCCAAATTTTATTTTTTAAAGTTATCAATTGCGCCAAAATACAGATTTATTTGCGCCTATTCAATCTGTAAACATATTTATCATACATAAAAATCCTTAATAAATTATGAAACCTTCAAAAGAATTATCTATGGAACAAAAAGGACTACTCTTTCTTAAAAATAAAAGAAAAGGTGGATATACAATTCCGCAGGAAGTAAATTTTAAAATCTTTTTTGCTTGTTCACTGCGCTCAAACGCCGAAACGATTCATATTGTGGCTCGACGTCTGATATTTATCGATATCAATGTGTACAAACTTATACAAATGATACTGAAGTGCATCACATTTTTAAGTGGATATAACATATTCTATACAGGAGACCAACCAACAAATATCAGAGCGACAAATATAATCTCAGAATGAATTTTTAAAAGCTCCAGTGTAAACTGCTTGGTCACAGTCCCGAATAAAGGAGGAGGGAAATCATAACTTTTATTAAGATTAATTGGCGGAATCCTATTATACTTTAATATCGGCTCAAATGGTACCCAAATATCAAAATATCAAAATACCCCATTTTGAAAACTAGCGGCGTTAAGGTAGCATTTGTGCAAATAGGCTGTGGTGCAAAAAGTAAAATAACAAAAATACCGAACTCCAAGGAAAATTCAAAACGGAAAGTCCCTTATCAAATGGCAAAATCAAAAGCTCAAACACATCAAACGAATGGAAAACAACTGTCATATTCCTGATTTGGTACAGGCATTTCCTTATGTATAAAATGCAAAAGGGAGCTTTTTTGGACGCAAACGATTTCTCCTGAAATTAAAATATCTATTTTTTTAGTCTATTATTGAAGATAATACTAATATATTGTAGACAGACAATTGACTAAAGATAACCCTCCATAGTTGCCACGATGTCATAATTATATCTTCAGATTTGAATATTAATAGATGTATCTCGACGTTTTGGATAAAACGACTTTTAAGATTAAAAAGTTGTAAAATATTTTATAAAGAAATTCATTTGTTTCATATGTAAATAAAATTGTATAAATTAATTGTTAAATGAAATGTACGTGTGCAAATTAGACCGAAATGGCTCTGACGTCTAACAGCCTGGATTGGGTTACTTGTTGGGACCGTGCATGGGCTTTAAGGTGACTAGAGACTGATTTGATGGATAATAGATTATGACTGATTTGCTCTTTATTATGAAGAATTGTAATTACTACTACATTTGTGTACTTATCTCGACAAAGTGGTGTTTTGGTGTGCAGGGGTGTCACACCGTCACACATGGTCTGACTACAGACAAGATACTAATATTTGTTGACGTGTATACAATAAGAACAGAAGGATATGTATGTTATAAGTAAATGAGACAGCAACATAATAACACGAGAAACAAATCTCCTGTATTTACGTCCAAAATCATAAAGCAACTTTTGCTGAGGAGTGACTATTTTAATTTATAATTGCAAATAGGTAGGACCCATTTCCACTGTACTTGTTTCAATCGAAGGGTAAAAAAATATTAAAGTTTTCAAATCCTACTAGAAATTGAATGTTATAAAAATGAAGAATCTACATCCTATTACTTTTTTCCACCATTTTACATATTTCTATATCATAATTTAAAAAGTGTTATTCATCATTACATGTTGCTTTTGAAGGCATTTTGATTTAAAAATTGCAAAATTTACATGTTTTTGTAAAATTTTGCATTGAAGGACGTCGATTACCACAAATGAATTATTATGCATCCAAAAGACGCTTTACTTCCAACATAATTATGGTTTTTGTAGAGGTGTCCTTCTGTTACATTTTTGGGGTCAAAATTGTGGTTTAGGGCTGTCGTTAGGCGTGAACAATGTGTGATCTGATTAGAAAAAGCCAATGCTATTCTATATTTGTAAAAACCTTAAGTTTTTTTTACATACATGGAGTTGGATACTACACCACTGAGAAAAGATTGAAAGACCTTATCAAAATGGCCCTGCTAATAGATAAATACCTAGGAAATTGACCCTACCTATTCAAGCACCCCGGTAAATCTATGCAATAATTTGAAACATTTCATTTGCATTTTTTAAATAGATCTAAATGCGTAAAATTTTAAGTACTGCACTGTAAAATGTAAACAACAGTATCAGAATAACCGTTTTCAATACTCATCATCCAATATTATCCACATCTCTTAACGATTCTGAACTTGGTGTATACAAAAATAATTAAATAGAATAAAACGGAACCCTTTGAAATTTTAAATTGATAATTTCATACAATGTACCAGTAAATAAATGTTACAGCTGTTGGTCATCCTATGCATTGTCCAACTTATCGAACAGGATTACGGACACCATCTGTATAAATAGGTGCCTTGTTTAAACGCAATATTGTTTACCAGCTTTGCTAACACTGTAAGCCACAAATCTTTATAACCTGCATGATGTGTAACAGATAAAGCGGATGGTCGTAGTGATTTCCTATGTGACCACAGTCTACATAGTCTTATAGCTGGTCTGGGAGAATTTCTATGTTGTATATCTCTACCACCAACCAACCTCAGGCCTAAACAATAAAAACAACAATAACCTATTGAACGATGCAATTGCTTTGCGTTTCTGTAAACCAGTGGTGTACTCTTTAAGGGAGCTACCATTTGATTTTTTATGGGGGGCTAGGATGAAATTTAAAAAAAAAGGCAGGACAGGAGTTTTGAGTAAAAAAAAAGGCAGGATGAGCAACTTTGCAAAAAAAAAAGGCAGGATGACAATTTATGTAATAAAAGTCAGGATAAACTAATAAAAAAAGGCAGGACCGAATAGAGTGTTAAATAAATAGGCAGGACAGAGATTACAACTAAAAAAAAATGCAGGACAAAATTTTTCATCCTAGCCCCCCCATAAAAATCAAATGGTAGCTCCCTAAGATAAAAATGATCAGTCATGGTGTTCATAAATAGAATACAGAACAATCTTTAATTTAACCAAACCATTTGAACCTTAAAGAGTCACATTGGCATAAATCTATTTCAATGTTCATTAGAATATTATTGTAGTCTCTCTATATATATTCTTACTTACAAACTTATTATCATATAGAGCTGATGGATATTATGTATTTATAATGAAGATTGAAAATTTCTAATTAAAAAGACAAATAACCACAAAACAACTGATTTGAATAGGTGCAATAATGTTTGGTTGATTGGTGGTTGTTTAAAGTTCTTACCAGGGTTTGTGAAAAATTTGAAAGCCAAAAAGCAATTATGCATCACTGACAGCAGCATTGTTTTCGATCTATTGGGAAATCAAACTAATGGCAGTATTATACATATTAAGTTTTATTGAATTCAGAAGATGTTATGACCAACAGGAACACCAAAATTAAACGTAACGTAGCAACATAGAGTCCAACGGTGTTATGAACTACAGGATCATCAAGCACCACCACATCAACAAAGTATTCCAATGTATTGTGATGTATACTAACACATAGCTATTCTAGGTCCATAGCTCGATAGGTGTATTATTATGATGGAAAAAAAATATGTCATCTAATAGTATCATCATCCCTTGCGCTATGTTTTACAACAATACAAGATACAAAGAAGTTTGGGTAATAACTAGACGCTCGCCTGGCAAAAATATGTCATTTTGATTTCTATTTTGTTTTTTTTTTTCACAAATAATGACTGAAATCTAGTACATGTTGTTCGTCTTTGTTTTTATGTCTGGTTTTTTTTTTTCGGAACTAAGAGACGATGTTAGTGGTTGACGTGGTCTGTTGTTCTGTCCAGTATATTTGATGATTCCTGTAATCTGTTTTATGTATCAGTAAGCTTAAATCAAAGTACTGAAGTACTGAACATCGGATGACCACAAGTTCTTGAGGATGGTCAAAAGCACTTGTCTCAGAAAAAAAACAACATATCTCTTTACCCGAAACTGAGGTTAATGTACAGAGATATATTTTTTTTTTTCTAGACAAGTTCGTGCGAGGATGATGAATAAATGACAGGAAATTCAACTTCACCGTAATAACTATTATATTGTAGTGATACAAATCAGTATACACTGATTTGTTGTTATATATTATATCAAAATAACAGTTACATATATATATGATTTGCATCCGTTTGTATATCATTCTATTCTACTATTCTAACAATAGTGCAATGCAAGTGCATGGTGGACACTTTTCTGTAAAAATTCGATTTTTCTAAGATTGGATACGAGTAGGCATTCATATTTTCCCGCAAAAACAATTACAGAGCTACCGGTCCTGTCGCAAAACGTTCTTTGAGATATTCTTCCGCATGCTTTAACACAATTTTTCGGTACGTGTGCATTGATATTATCAATGATTTTTTACTTATATATATATATCTAACTACAAAACATTTTCACATTATTATTTTATGTTGTAAACAAAAATATTTTTATCAGTATTCATTGAAGAGATGTATTGATATCATTTGACAAGGAATGTTATTTTGCACTCGTTTATGTGCGCATATTTATCATGTTTATAGATCGGTTACAAACCCAAAACTAATTTACATAATGGAAATCTAGGCGATAGCAATACATCGGAATGACCTCAAGGTCATCGCGATGTAAAAATACAAGTGTTAGAATCACATAAAAGAGGCAAAAACTAGGATACAAATTATTCAAAATCTTCCAATTAAGCCCTCGCTTCACCCTCCAAATCAAATTGGCCTACACTTAAAAGTACCCACAATACTAAATACCACCAAAACTATTTATAAACTTCTAAAAATATTTTCGAAAAAATATTATGAAAAAAAAATCGTCATTAACGGACAATAACTCCAATAAACAATCAATTGACAGTTTCAGTCATGTGACTAATTTTTTTATACCATGCCTTGATTTGTTTTTTTTAGTAATTGTCTATCTAAAAGTTTAAAACCCAACTAGGGGATCCGAGGAGCCTGTATTACGCCTTTCATTTATGCATAGAATTAATCAAATGCAACAGGTTTTTGTATTGAACAGAAACTGTGTGGGCTAAGATCATTTTTACTCGACAGAGTATTTGTTCTCCATTATAGTTTTCGAAATACTAGAAATAGGCAAAACAAAACATTATGACAGACACTAGATGGATGATGAAGACAACGATGGCTGCCAAGTGATGCGAGCTGAAGGCCCAGTGAGCTTAATATAGTTAAAGGGTACTGGCTATCTATAATACACTCAACAACAAAAAGAAAAGCAACGCCTGCATTAATTTATTAAAAAAAGAGTCAAAATTGTGGAGTCTTAAACATCAAATTATGTGAAAATAAAGATTTTCTAAATTTTCATTTTTGACCTCTCAAAAAACACATTTTCAACCCAAAAACAATTGTCAGATTTTTTAAAATTGGTAATGTGTATCTTGACTTGAAATCACTGAAAATGAATTTGATGTTCAGTTTTTTAATCAAATTTTTATTTAATGAACAATATCATACCAAACTGCATACCAAATATCATTGACTCATCATAAGTGGTTCCCCTTAAACTGATCTCATCACAAACTTTAACATGTTAATTATGCAAAAGTTTTAAAGTCAATTTTCTAAAATGACTATGACTGAGGGGGTAGGCCCCACTAATCTCCATGCAAATGGGATGCTTATATAACTGCATACGAAGTTTGAGAGTTTGGGTCATATTGGTATTTTTGTAGATATTGCATTGGTTATTATTTTTGCTGTTTACTGTTTCTTCTTATCTATTATAGGTTTTGAGATAATAGGCAAATAGCGGACTATACAGTATGGTTTTTCTCATTGTTGAAGACCTAAACATTCTGAGTGTTTTCTTTTGCAATGTTAGATTTTATTTTTTCCATTATGGTTTCCATGATATGAGACAATGAATGCATTTTATCCTCATGTTCTATTTTAAGCCATAACCACCACATTGGTCTTTTGACAGGAACAAAAACACAAACTTTAAACCAGTATTTTGAAAGAAGATTTTTAAAAAGTTTAAAATGACAGCTGATGGACATCAAAGACAGACAACAATTACAGACCCCAAATAATTGTTATAGCTGACATGGTCCGTAGGGCTAGGAGTGCCTTAAATGTAGGATACCGATATCAGTCCACGAAATGCATGGTTGTACAACAAACATATAAATAAAACATATGCACAAAAGAAAAGAAAAGTTCAAACTTTATACTTTATTTGGTAATTTCAGTTTGAGCATATTGTATACCAACATTTAAAATATAAATATAAAAATGTTAAATTATAACACATGCTTCTTCTAAACGTTGTTTTTCATAGTTTGTGACAAAATAAAAACCAGTGTTGTCTCTCAACTCATAGATAACAAAATGAAGCAAATTTAAAGATAAATATTATAGATTCTAAATATAAATAATTGGACGGTCTAATAAATTTAACGTATATAAACACAGAGACAACATATTTTTTAACAATATATACACAAACTGGATCACAGGTACTGGGTTGTAGACCAAGACAAGGCATTTATAAAACATGTTAGTTCTGTACTCTTTTGGTATTTGCAATTTTTTATTTCTTTATTACAATCGTTATAAAAATTACTTGAGACTTTCTACAAGTCGCCCAAAAGAACATTGTTCATAATATGCTCATCATTTTTACAATTCAGACAAATAATAGTGATTGCTGATATAGAAAGGATCAAAGGACATAGAACATGATTTCTTGAAATTTAAACACGAAAAAAATCAAAAAAAATTATAGAAAGCAATTTTTGATAAAAAGATACCCAGATAACTAATTTTTATTAACTTACTGTGGTTCATACTTTTATAATGTATATTAGACAAGAATAAACTGATATGATAAATAATTAGAAATGTAAAAATATGACGAAATATAAACTTTATATCACACATTTTCTGGCAGTACTTCACTACAAATATTAACTATCTTCGAAAGGCTAAATAACATTGCTAACAATTTATTTATCTTTACTTTTCCTGTTCATGCTCAAACGGACATTTCTTTCACAAACCATTTTTTTTCAGAGTTCATAATTTCTCCTTTCATGAAAGTTAAATGTAAAAGGAGAATCAATTTCTCTGCCAAAATTTGTTTCCACAAAGTTCTGCCCTGCTTTTAATATTGGTATGCTCTGAGCACTAAAATGAGTTGTTTTTTTTCCACAAAAAATAAGTTTTGATAAGAAATAAATATTCCATAAAAATTTGTTATAATTGTCATGCATGAATGATTTTTGTTGCATTCTAATCGTCTCCACCTGCATCATCATCTGCTTGTTGTTCTTGTTCTGGTTCCCCTCCCTCATCTGCCTTTTGCTCCGATTCAGCTTGTTCCACTGGTTTTTCACCCTGAAAAAATAACAAATTATGATATAATTATAAAATATAAAATATTTTGTTCATTGATATTTTTCACTTCATTTCATATAATGAAATTCATCAACATTAGTTTTACATATATGATGGTATCTATACAATTTTATGACAAGCTCTTTCTATCTTTTCAATTTTTGAGAAAACTTATTAATAATGATTTACACATTTTTTTAATTGATTTAAACAAATGTTAAAATACTTAATTTTTTTCCATTGTTTTATTAGAATTCAATTATTTAAGCCTTGTTTACAGTGTCACTTTAATTCCTCAATCAGATAGCTGCCAGAAAAGATGAGTCAATATAAAGAACAATCACTTGTTCCCTGTTTAAGTGTGCCATTAACATGGTGTCAAACCCACCTTATAACAGTTAAATCCCTATTAAGTTTTGCATATGACTATTGTACTCATCAAATGATCATTGCTCTCCAGGTTATCTTTAATAACTTCCATAACAAATCATCGGAGTGATCATTCAATATTTATTTTTTCCCAATCAAAAGAGACTGATCGCCAAGCTGACAATCCATATTGTTATAATTTGTAAGAAAAGAAGTGATCATCACGATAGAATCAGCCGCTGTAATCAGCCATGTGGAAAAATTGTCACCTGCTTTCATAGAAAGAGAATTATTTTTCCAACAGTGTACGAAGTGTGCAAGGAGTTATATGGCATCTAAAACACCATATATATCATGGGAATTTGTCATGTGGTGGAGCGAGAAACCTCTCGTTTCTTCCTGTATCGACAGTGTGCCTAATCTTAATGAGAGAAAATTCAGATCTGTCTCAGACACAAATAAAAGTCACAAGTCTATTCATAATTCCTCCTTGCTTGTTAATTAATAATAAAATAACCCTGCCGTTATATAACTGAATTAATTATTTGGTAAATTGTCTCTCTTTTCAACGGAAAACTTTCTTTATCCCTAGAAATTATTATTATTATAGTGAATTTAAATCAAGAAAATGAGACAGTTTCTTTTATTATGATAAGAGTCAATTTGAAATCACTTTCCGGCCCACTGAGCCTGCCAAACAAATTCATTGTTGACTTGGACACAATTCAAATCACTTGTACTTTATCAAATTACACCACTGTAATTTTTAATACATTTGTAATTGTCTAATAAAATTATAATGGCAAAGTAATTTCAATTTTTCACTGTCCTAAATTTTTTCAGAATTTTGAAATTCTAAATTAGTGTAGCAAAAAAAGATTATTTACTACAGTTTTTAATACATAAATATTATGTGAAAGGTGGTAAAATGCTGTAAACTTCAATTAATTTAAATATTACAAGTGTGAGTGTACCTGTTCCAGGTGAGAAACCCTGGTCATAACAATCAGTTCATTATACCCAACTTATCAGAAATCAAGGTGGGATTCTCGTAACAACAATTTATTGTGCTTCATTATTATAAATATTCTCATGTGGGGAAAAATTCAGAGTCAACATGTACATATTCAAAACATTTTATATTTAAATTTAAAATAGAAATAGGGATTTTATTTATCAATTAAACATACAATTATTCATAAAATAAAAGGTTAAATTTTTACTGGGTAGTTCATTAAAAACTCAAATTTTATTTAATATAAGTGAAAGCACAAATCTTAGACAATGAATGTTTGATGTTGTTTAGAGATACATCAGAAAACTTTCCCTTTATTTAAATAGACATTTATCAATTAACTATGAAGCCATAAGTATACTAATACATGATAAACTGCATATGAAATGCCAGACATATCCTTTATAAGGTCCACTTATGCAAAAAAAATTAAAAAAATCACTTTAGGACAAGGAGCATCAGATTCAAATTTGTGTGTTGTCAAAAAATAAATGCACTATGAGCTATTAACTACCAACCATGACGGACACAATCTCTTGTTTTATTCCTTTAAAGGGGCATTACCGGTAGCTACGAGATATAAACAAAATCAAAATATGATTTTTTTTTTTCAATCATTAATGAACATGATATAGTGAAATATTAATTCGCTTTTAGCAGTCAAAATAAGATAAGAAACATCGCTGATGAAATATTCACTTGCAAGTGAATAATTTAACCTCATTGAATCTGTATTCATGTGACCTTTAATTTAACCTCTTAGCTGGAGATGGCTTATGCATGTATTCAGCTATTAGAATGAAAAGAATGTCAACACTGAAAATGAAACAAGGATGAATCATTTGGTTGACTGATTCGATCCACAAAAAATTGTTTAAATAATCAAGATTTATATCAAACTCAAGGATTTTATTACAGAAACCCAGCACTGTCCAACAAGTTTATTTTGCCATGAGTCTTCTGAATGTGTGTTGTACTTTCTTCACCTTGGTAATGATTAGTGACGAGTTAGTGTAAAGATATTTACAAATATATTGCCTACCAATGTTAAAATGAGCATAGACCATGACAAGAAAGAATATTTCTTTTAAATAAAATCCTTTTCATAGGCATGACACACCCTAAAATTATTTTTGTCAATTACATGTAAGCTTTTTCTCATTTAATTTGTAAACACTTAAATATTATTTTCTGAAATAATAGAAAATGGTTGAAAAAAATATATTTTCTGGTTAATCTGGTATGGTCCATTGGATACACTGTAAACTATTTCAAAAGTCTATGGCAAAATATATCTGGTCGTAACTGCTGATTTCATTTCTGTTCCAAGCTTTGATGCCAAATTATTACATCTGGTTGAATATCAATGAGGATCTTACCTCTGATGTGGCTGATGCTGATGGAGGCACAGCGTTTTGTGTTGTATCTTGGGGTTTTTCTTCTGTCTGTTGTTGTTCCTGTTGTTCAGATACTGCTGGTTTCTGACCTATTTTGGCATACAAGTCCATTCGTTTACTGACAACCTCACGTAAAATGCCATCAAGCACCATTCTGCCGAGTTCTGATTTTTTCAATTGTTCTGTTACTTGATCCATTAACCATGGCATGAAACCTTGTTCCAAATCTGAAAAATAGAAATGTAAATGTTACTTATTAAGTTTCTCCAAGTTTCAATTTGTACTTAAGCAAGACAGGCAAACGGCAGGAGTTTGGATGAATATATCTGTAAGCTCTAATTTATTGCCAATGATCAAAGGAAGATTGCTTTTATTGCTGCTCTTCAAAATACCTAATGTTGGTTAAATCTACTTTATAGATATGGGCAAATTAATAATGTCACTTTGTGCTCCAATTCTAAATTATATCAGTTTATCTGACCCACATGATATCACTGTTAATCAGGAAAAGGACATCATTATTACTTTGATAACAATGAAGTCAAAACATGACAGTTTAACATTGAAATATCATTTTTGTTGATTATTCTCTTAAAATGATGTTTACCTCTTTCCACTGGGTCATAGAAATAGCCATTGTCTGATAGTGTACCAAACACTGTAGGGACCAGATCTGCGAGGTAGCTTTGAGCAAATGCACGGGCGGCAATTTTATCTGATGTTTCTTTTTCTTTCTTTGCAATTTCTCTTTGCTGTCGCATCCGTCTTTCCTATAAAAGATAAAAACTTTATTTATATAATAAAATGATGTGGTATGATTGCCAATGAGACAATCATCCACCAGAGTACAAATGACAAAGGATTTAGCAAATTTAGATCACCGTACAACCTTCAACAATATCCTTATCATTAGGTAGATCTTAATGGTTTGGAAGTTTTTCATGTTACAAATATCTTAAGCATTATGTATGCAAACTATTTCAGATATTCCTTTTTTAAACAATCTTCTATGTTATTAACATCAAAAAGTTTGTAAACAAAAAAAAACATTTATAAAACAAACCTTTTCTTCTCTGTGTCTTCTTTCTTGCTCCTCTAATCTTTGTTGTTCTACTAATTCAGCATTTCTCAGTTCCTCGAAGGCTCTTTGTTGCGACCGCAGGTTAGATAACTCTTCCTCTTCCATAACCTCTAATAAAGCTTGTTCTACTGTTTTACCGACTAGCACTTCTAATATTGGTTTAACTTCAATGTCAAAATCAAACAACTGAAATGAAGAAAATAAAATTCTTAAATGAATTCTTTTCAAATAAATGATTTAATTCCAAAGTACCTCAAACAATCTCCATAAAATGACCTTTCTCCTTTGCTGCTCTTAGAAATTATACAAAAAGACCACTAAAACAAACTTTTTATACCATAGAGCTTATAAATTAAAATGTATAAGGGAGATAATCTATTACCACAAAAATGGGTAAGTTTACATTGATGTAAATTGCTTTCTGTACTGGTCAAATTTACTTCAAGTTCAATGTTTTTCATTCTTGTCTGTTAGCTGTACATTAAAATGTTTTGTTGAATTGACAACACAGCAACAACTTTCCATTTTTTTCTAGTTTACACACTTACATCTCCATCTAATATCTGTGTCATTATGTCTACACCAGTTTTGGCGGGGACAAACATTGGTGATGGAGGTCTGTCTAAGAAGGCATCTGTTTGCACTTCAACATCAGCTTCCTCCACACGATCACTTAATTCTTCTAAATAAAGTTCTGTTTGAACATCAATGTGTTTTCTTCCCTCTACAGCCTCAGGAGATCGTGGACGGAGTTGTTCTTTTGCCCTTTTTCTAGCTATAGCACGTCTTCTATTTTCTTGTTGTCTCTGAATTTCAATTGGATCTGGCTGTGCATGCTGCAGAATAAAAAATATTAGATGTCAATTTCATGACAGATTTCCAAAACAATTTTCTGGTTTATTTTTTTTCCATTTAAAGCTTATCTTGTTATACAAAGATCTGTAGAAATCTGGTGGTATTTTTCAATTCAAACAATTTTTTTTATGAAGTGCATTGTTATACATTGTATATTCATTTTCTCTTTCTTGCAAATAGCTTCATTTTCTCTTTCTTTTAAATAGATTCATTTCTCGTTCTTGTAAATAGATTCATTTTCTACTTCTTGTAAATAGATGTATTTTCTCTTTCTTTTAAATAGATTCATTTTTCCGTCTTGTAAATAGATGTACTTTTGTGTATAATGACAATACTTACTGCAGGTAATGTGTGTTGGGCATACGTGTTTCCACGGACAATACGTCTGTCATACATTATGTTACCATACAATGGTACACCCTCAGCACTTCTAAAGAAAGCAAATATAAAAATAAAAAGATAAAAAATAATATTTTCTTTTCTTATGATAAAATTACATAAAACTGAACATTTTCTAAAAATATACAAGAAAATATAGTGTTCCTATGTCTTCTAGTTCTACAACATCAAAAGATAGACTGAGAACTAATTCAGAAATGAGTAAATGTACAATTAGAAAAGGATTATTCAGATTATTGATCCACGCAACTGTATGAAGAAAAATGTGCAACCAAGTCACAAATTTCCACATGTATTGTTAATGCCAAAGCCAAATACTTATAAGGCCTTTAAGATAAGTACAAATAAAATATAAATTTTCCTTTTATAGTTTACTTATTTATTCAATGTAGTTACAGAATTTGCCAAATCTATCTGACATTTAAAATATTTTTGCAACTTAACCATTAAAAAGGAAGAGTTCTAACAATGAATATATGACACAAAAAAGAACAATCACTTACTGCTGTTCCGCAGGAGCTGTCATGCCATCTCTGTATTTCTTTCTTTGTTGAACAGCCCTCGGCTGACTTGCAAATGTGTAAGTCCCTTGGGGCTTTTGAGGTAATACTGCTGCCATTTTTGTTTGTTTATTTTACATATAATATTCTTCTGATCTTTTACTTGGACCTGCTAATAAACAACAAAACATCTATAATTACACCTAAATAAAAAAAAAAAACAAGATTTCAATATCATAGTTCATGTAGGACACTTCAATAACCTGTAAAGACCCATTTAAAATGACTTAGAATTTTACACTGTATCACCTAAACATGTGTTTTAAAACCTTGGTTTATAGTTGACCAAGTAAATATTGATTAAATACTAGTCTAAAGGGTACAAGGAGACTTCAACTTAATTCAATTGATTATCGAAAAAAGTATGTCATATTGGTATTTATCATATATGGAAAACTCTTCCTCCTCTAGGCTCTAGCAGGAGCATCAAGGTAAAAAAAAAAGGTTCACCACTCATACAATAAATTATTTATAGCAAGCTAAATATTCAATCACCACATACCAAAATAGATATGTTTAAGCAGGTTATTCGTTTAAATATATAAATAAAACGTCTTGCACAGAACTACATGTACATTGTATATATCCATTTCGTAACATACACTGTAAGAACACATAGAACTCCTGCACATATATACATGTACATGTTTACAATCAAACACTATCCATCTTTGTTAAAAAATCTAAGAGATTTCTACTGTCATACAGTCAAGCATTAATATATGTGTTAAACGCATATATCCTTATACTTAAAATCTAAAATCACTTGATTTCTCTTCATAATTTTAGGTACGATTTTACAGTTTAAACACTATCTACCTATAACATATGATAGAAAAAATTCCACTGTTCAAATCCAGTGTTAATAAATGTACCAAATGCATATCGTAATGCTTTAAATCTACTTAATGATTAATTTACTCTGTATTAATGATAGACATTTGTGGTAAAGTTTGTAGCACAGTCCTCTTGTAACTGTCTCAATACTGACCTGTTTCTTTAACACAAGGAAATGATATGTCGTGAAGTCCATTATCAAATTAAATGATAATGCCAATGAGACTGAAAACTGTACCATGACAGTATTCACACTTAACCACAGGCCCAGCAGCCCAGGCTTGTAAAATTGATTTTGGGCCTGTAAAATTTAACTAAAAATCATCTCTACTGGCTAACAGATTCTAACTAAAATTTTCAAAAATTGAGCTCTGGGCCTGTATATTTAAAAGTTTATCACGAAGAATGCCATGATCTGATCTGAATACATCAATCTTCAGTTGTTCAGTCTTGAGCTAAGGTCAATCTGCGTCATTGAACAATCGGTTCTTACTGTGACATAATAACATCAGTATTGTGACATAGGAAATTCACAGGAAAGTGAATACACCTTATCGCTATTTGGAAATCTGTCCCGGTTGATCCAAGAATCTGCCCCGCTTGAACTATTGACAATAATAACTTTTCCATTGTGGAGTCAGACATTTTGTATTATGACGTCAAAATTTTACGGGAACCTTTGTGATGTCCGGTAATGGCGGACAAATAGCGATAAGGTGTATTTGAAAGTCATATATCAAAATAAATGTTTTCTTTGGGATAATCGGTCGATGAAAAATAAACATAAGAGCTAACTCTAAAATCTAACCCAAACCCTGACAATAAATGTCAGTACATGAACTCCAAAAGTAAAAGATGGGGTGACAACCTAGTTGTTAGTATGGGTAAAGTCTGCAGCATGCATGAACTGTTTGCCAGGTCAGGAATACCATTGGCATTGCCATTGGTGGATTATACCTGACCTGTTTGCTTCTAAATCTATTCAAAAGCTTTGTCCGATTCATTAAATTGACTGAACAGCCAATGCAAAACATATTCTACACAAATCGCTGAGAATCCCAAAGGAATTAAAACAGCCCGCTGTCATACTCAGTCATAGTCGCGATTAGTGCAATACCAACAAGATGAAATTATATTCTGTTTTCACATTGATTCTATATATATTTATCAAAGACAAAAACCTATAAGCAAGTACAGTTTTTGTTTGGAAGAATTGAACTAACAGATTGCATTAAGAACAAAGTATTTACCACTGCATTCGTTCACCAAGCCTTTTCTATCGGTTTCTTACCTCCCTTCAAAATATTTAGAGTGACGTTGCCATGATACAATAGCACCGCACCAAATCGCTACACACATATTTTCATTTTAATCTTCACTTAAAAAATAAATTGAAATGTTTTTAACAATCATTTAATTGCTGTTAGCTTTCTTTGTAAATTTTTAGTATATTATTCTAATATTAAAGAAAATTAAAAAAAATTATTTACTCCGATTAAGTGAGGATATTGATATTTCAAACATAAACATGCGAAACGAACATTTGATAACATGTTCTACCTTGTTGAATGGATCAGTCAATACATTAAATAGAAAACATTTTACCAAGTTATATGAGGCATTTTAAAACTTTTCAAAATTATCAATATCGATGTTGTATTGTTATTAAACTTGCCGACCTAAAATAAAACTTATTTGATGTTGGCACACAGTTTCAGCGACCTTACAAATATATGATACGAAATACTAAACATGTACTTCGTCTCTGTTGTACGAAATGGTTTATAGGCTGAGATTACTATACCATGTGTTTATAAAAATCGAAGCAAATGAAAAAATAGGACGATAGTTGAATGGTTATTTGCGGTCCTAAATCTGATGACTTTTCACCAACATTAAATTCGTTTGTCTATCGAATAAAGGAAACATATTGTATAAGAAGAAATTGATAAAATAACTTTAATGATCAAACACTTTATTTAAAAAAACATATCAATGGTCAAAGGACATTTGATTAAATGAAAATAAGTATATATATATATATTTACAAACAAGTCTAAATTGAAAACAACATTCAAACCTATGATTGCGTTGGATAAAACTTGACCGCAATTTTTATACGTGTGCATGCAAAACAAATTTCTTGTTAGAGGGGTCTAAATACAACACAAACAACATTTTCCAAAAGACCAAAAAAGTGAAAAAGTATATTTTAACAAAACGCATTTGACTAACACAGACCTGCCAACTATCCCGATTTATGGGGGATATCCCCCATGAGAGGTGTTGACCTGAATTTTGAAATTCTTTATTATATAAACTGAACACCTCAAAACAGGCATTCAAATGAGTAGGAAGGGTATTTAAGCACATACATGCTCATTCAAACAATATAGTAGTAGATTAAAAACACTTATCACAATAAAAGAGGAGCATTATATCGTCTTGCGCTTAAAATCCCCCATGGAGATTTTGAAAAGTTGGCAGGTATGCTAACAGGTCGAACAACAAATGTTCTTAAACCCTGCTGACTGCCTGTGTATATATATATTTTTTTTAAAATAACAACCCCAGCATTTCACGGGCAAATAGAAGAACTTAAATTCAATGAAGTTAATGAGGATACTGTAAATAAACAGATAAATAAAGTCAAGATCAATCAAAAATGGAATTTGAAAAGATGTAAAATTCCTACGTTTTGGAGAGCTATTTATGATCAGCTCATTTCTCATTCTGATCGTGTTACGAATGTAAAACGGCGCTTTAAAAAATCTTTACCGAGAACTGAAAACAGCATTAAAATAAAGTCAAACATATAGCATCACTGCCGATCGTTTGACTACCTTATGAATGAACTGTCTCTAAAAATCTTTGAAAATACTTTAAAATTATCTATTAAACTAAAGTGGGTTCATATCTGAGTACATGGGGAAAAAATTGAAAAGAGGTTCCCAAAAGAGCAATTCTAGGTCCCTTACAATTCACATATCTATCTAAACGACATCTTCTATCTTATCAAGTTAAAACAGCCGCCTTTTAAAACTATGCAGATGATAACACACTTTTAATTGATCGGTTCAGTCAAATGAAAGCAAATCCTGACAAGTTTCGGCACTTGCAGTAGGAAGTTAAACATATGCAAACATTATCTCCAACATGATGATATTATATAAATAACACATAGCTGAGAGTGTGATAGAGCAGATTGTTACCCCGAGAAAATATTGTCAACTGAGGCGAAGCCAAGTTTGACAATGTCTTTTCGAGGGGTAACAATCTGCTCTATCACCCTCTCAGATATGTGTTATTTAATTTATTATACTGAATGTTCTGTTATAACTGTCTATTCAATTTCAAATTCAAAGTAATAAACTATGTCGTCTTGTACAATCATCCGTATTTATCAACTTTAGTGCACACTTGAGCAAGCGTCTCCTTGAAGGGTAATAGGGTATTTGCCATGGGATAGTATACATTTATTTCCCGTGCCTGAGGGAGATATGAAGATTTGTTCCCCCAAGAAAAATCATATTTCACAAGGGCATCGCCCGAGGGAAATATGACTTTTCGAGGGTGAACAAATCTTCATATCTCCCTAAGCAAAGGGAAATGAATGTTTTATTCCACTGCCTATACTTTTTTTTTACTGATGAACATAAGATATTAATTTACATAATTGTTTTCTTATCCGGTAGTTTTTTCATAACTAAACACAACATACACAATGATAATCAGTACCGATTAAAAGTTAATTATTTATTCGTTTCTGTTTGTTGTTAGAAACAAGGATTTATATAGAAATTAATATACTATCTTTAAAAAACGATCAAAACGTTTTAAAACACTAACCGCGGGTAACGTCGACCAAGGCAATCCCGACGTTCAGAGGGGAATATGATACTCAGAAGGGAATATGAAGTTTTGTTCGACATCACGTGGAGTAGTTTCAACCAATCAAATGTTTAGTTCGCTATCAAAATCAACATGCAGTGGAATAAAGTAAATTGTTTCCCTCGTATTAACCAATCAAAATCTGGCATTTTGACATGAAGTATAATAGTATCAAATGTAATACTCTATTGCTAACCCTAGAGGTCTCATCAAGAGGAAATTATAACACTTATCTTTAAACTGTTTTGACGATTTGCAATTTTTTTTGTCGTTGGAACCTAACAGATAATTTGGAATATATATATATATATTTACATACTGATTTTTTTCTTCTAATTAAGAAGGTACCATCCAAATTACAGGTTTGAATAACAGAATTATTCGTATTAATGAAGGACATAACGATTTAGCACTATTATTGCATGCTACCTTCAAGTTTAAATTTCTTTTGATATCCAGTTAGCTTATACACTAAAAGATCAAAGTTTCTGACGAAAGGCGTCAAATTATTAGTGAAAGCAACAAGAATTAAAAATAACATGGTTTGGTTAGAATGGTAATTAACGTTTTGTTCGTACGGTATATTCAACTTGAACCAGTTAGATTTACTCAAAGTTTAGGTTAAGATTTGAAGTTTTCGTCATCATCGATGGAAACAACTTTCGCTAATATATCTAGATGTAGTATTTTCATCTTTCATGACATCTGTAACAAAGGAAAGGCTTTATGGAATTCGCTTATTACACGGGAACACTTACATGAAGTGAAATTTACTTTCATCTAATGAATCATGACTAGCATCTTTAAATCGGGAGGGATTAAAAGTAATATAATTAAATACAGAGGATTTTATGTTTAATGTTTAACTTACACTTTTATAATGTATTTATCAAAAAGAAAGTAAAAAGCGGGGTTTTCAAATGTACGTGAGGCAGTATCAACAAAGATACAAATAAAGTCATGGACCACTGGTGATTTGTAAACCTACTTGTATAACGTATAATGGTTGTAGTCTTGTTGACTATACCATGGTATATTCTGTTAGAATTTGTAGGTTTATTTCAAGTTCTAGATTTCACTTCATTGTCTAATCATTGTCCAACTATATTTGTAGTATTATAACTCAATGTGCACAAGATTTTAATCACCAGTCAAAATCAAAACTGTTACCGGGTAAATACATTTGGTCGGATGAAGCCATTGAACTTTACAAGAAAAACATTCAAAGTAAAGAGTCTCTATTTACAAAATTGAAATTTCTATGAAAGAAGAACTTAGTGATACTGATAGTATGGTAAAACCTTTTAATTCAATACTACATGAAAGTGCAAATAGCTCAGCTAAATTTGAGAAAAAAGGCCTGATATAAAAGACAAAACTAGGTCGAAAAAGAAACCTTGGTTTACTGAATCATGTGCAGATTTGCGTAGGTCTGTTATAAACTATGAGATACTGGCCGTGGCCGTTACAGACGGCCTAGTAAACATGAAGAAAAAAATATAGGCAAACTTGATATATACACTGAAATAAGCAATTCTTTATGTGCCTGTCCCAAGTCAGGAGCCTGTAGTTCAGTGGTTGTCGTTGGTTCATGTCTGTCATATTTGTTTTTCGTTAATTGTTTTGTTATAAATTAGGCCGTTAGTTTTCTCAATTGAATTGTTTCATATTTTTCATGTCGGGGCCTTTTATAGCCGACTATGCGGTATGGGTTTTTCTCACTGCTGATGAAGGCCGTACGGTTGCCTCTAATTCATTTGAACTTTGGTGGATAGTTGTCTCATTGGCAATCATATCTCATCTCCTTATTTATATAATAGTATAGAAAAGGACCATAAAACATTTGGGGCATTCATCAATAACATTAGTAATTCATCAGCTAGTGGGGTAAGTGACCCCTTACCACAAGAGGAATTTTTAAATCATTTCAATAAACTTAATACTGCAACTTTGACTTAAATCAGTTTCAAAAAAAGATAATACAATGTTTAAAAAATTTGAAAGTCGAAATTGGCACTAAGTGTGACGATAAACATGATAAAGCAAATGCTTATAATGAAAAATCTTACGACAGGAAATAATAAAAGCTATTAAATTATTAAAGAATGGTAAGAGTGCTGCATGTGACAAGATATCTAAAGAAATAATAATAAACGGCACATCTATACTGATTCGCCAGCTTGAGAAACTTATATTGTTGTGAAATGTGGTATAGAGATTGCTTTAAAAATTCGTGACTCTGACCCTTATGAAACATTTCACATTAATTTATTAAAGACATCCTAGGAGTTAATTGTAAAACTTCTAAGGATGCAAGTAGAGCTGAATTAGCTAGATTTTCCTTAGGAACTAAATTCATCATGTACTCTATTTAATATTTAGACTATTTAGTTAAATCCGATCACACATTAGCTCATGACTTATTTAAAGCCATTTGGAAAACGAATCCTTGAGCAATTAATATAATTGTGATATATAATTATGTCTCCGAAAACTTTGGTTCCCGTTTTAGGCCCAAGAGTTAAATAAAAATATTAAACCATTTTTTAAACAATTAAATCAGCGCATTTTAGATAAAAAAAAATCAAGATTAACGCTCCAAATCTTTTTATTCTGAAATTATAATTTTCCCGTAATATTTCAAAGGTAGGAGAACGTACACCACACACATGTTGATCAATTACTTTCAAGTCCGGTCGTTCTGTTATAGCTAGAATGATATTAAGTGCTCATTCCCTTGAAATAGAAAGAGGAAGGTATAACAGAACGGTAAGAAATGAAAGATTTTGTAAAGTGTGTACACACAACAAAATTGAGGATGAAAATCACTTTATTTGGCATTGCCTTAAATATAAAAATGAAAGAGAAATCCTAGCGACAAAATTGTCTAAATTTTTACCCAAATTTTAGAAATATACATAATGATAGCAGAAAGTCAAAACTATTGTTAAACAGAGGGTCAGTAAAATATCAAAGATATGTTCAAATAACATTTCTGGATTGTTGAAAGTTAGAAATAATGTTTTACAAAACCATTAATAATATTAAATATCAATATCCGATTTAGAAAGTATTGATTATTTAGTTGTTGTTTTTGAATTTGTTTTTTTCAACATATTTCTATACAATGTACTAAATTGAGCCTTTACCAATTGTTATAACTAAGTTGCGTTTGTGCTAATAAAATATTGTTTGATTGTCTATATTGCAAATGTTATATAACAAACGAATGGTACTGTAAATCCTGCTCTCTGATATTTTTTTTGTACACAATCAACCAAGCAATGAATTACAAGAGTGCTGCACCAATGCACATGTGTCCTCTTACCAATAAGATCCACAACACAAAAAGTATGCCATTGATGAACTTTCATCTATTCTCACCCTCTATGTTAACATTAAATCTGGTTCAATTAAAAAAATGAGTAGAAATTCAGCTTTCATGTTGATATAGACGCATATAGATGTAAGTGCTATACAAGGCACCTTTATCTTTCAAGTCAAATATTAAGGAATGTATCGCAACTTATAAGTGTTTGGCCCAATACCAATCATTGCAGCACTAACCTTTTAGCTAGAACACCTTCAAGAAATTAATTGTTTCTTATTATTAACTTGAATATTTCATGAACAAACGAAGAGAAATCCTTTTCATTCAAAATAGTGTAAATGTAAACGTTATTAAATATAAAAAACATTTCAAGGGTGCACTTCTTGCACACTACAATTTTAGGGGGTACATGACCTTATATGCAATAAAATGACCAACTTTTTAAAAAATAATGTTTTACATGAACATACACTGCAAAAAGGTGAACAAAGGCTAACCCTTATACTATCGTTATTGCAATATTTGTGTGGTAATGGTCATATCTGGTTTAAAATATATACACGGCCGTGAATTTGGCAGCTTTGGCGAACTCATTTTTATACAATAATAGCCTACACGTTTATCTGTCTATGTCTATCAGTGACCCACAAGGGGCATTTACAACACATACATTAATGAGACGATACGATGTCTGCCTATTAGAGACCCACAAGGGGCAATTACAACACATACATTAATGAGACGACACAATGTTTGTCTATCAGTGACCCTCAAGGGGCAGTTACAACACGTACATAAATGAGACGACACAATGACAAAATGGATTTGTTATTAGAATAAAGATAATCATGTTTTTGTTGTTTATTTCAAAATACTGTATAATGTTATCAAATTAATCAAATTGAATCTGATTCAAGCCGACAGCATCTAATATATCAAGAGAATACTGGATATTTCACAATTAAAGGCACAGCAAAATTCATTGACTGGGAAATTTTGTTAGACTTGATAAAATACTATATAAATGACAAATATAACTTCTTATATATAACGTTTATTGAATTTTACGCTACACTCCCATATTTTACACAAAATGTGGGGGTAAGTAAATTGCGATGGTATCCACAAACAAAATTAGAAGATTCGTATGGAACAAGCTTTCTTCAAATGCATACTGATAGTTTGATCAGCTATATCAAAGTTGAACAGACAATTTTACATACAAATCATTTTAAACATATAAGTTAATCTGTTTACAGATTTATTGTGATTCGGTACGTGCTCATGTAAATATATGTGTTGATCATTCAACCTTCATACTTCATTGTACAGGAATGAACGATTACTGGAACAAGCAAAGATCAAATAATTTGTCAACATACTGAATGACATTTGACAAATACTGATATGTGTAGTATTAAAGTGATACATCTTTGCTATTCTTTATAATTTGATTTGGTGATAAAGTAAGCTTAAAGACAAGTTAAACATTTTTTCAGGAGTTTCACCCTTTTCTTGCTTTCAAGGCAAATTTTGCTATCATTATAATTCCGGGAAGGATGGGTGACACATGATGCATATACTTAAATGTATTCTTAAACATGTAACTGCAAATAAAATTGGACTTCGAATTCTGTCTAAATTATAAGGTAAGTCAGCAATTACTAAAAGGGAAATTCATGAAATATATTTTTTATTGCCTCTGCTGATGTCTGCTCTTTGAATTTTTGTGTTTTTTCCCTGTTATGTATGTGTGTTTTTTTTATTCTTTTCCTTTATTAATTATAATTTTTTTAATTTTGTTTGTTTGGTTTTTTTTTTAAGATAAAGCCTTATGTGATAATTCATTCGTGTCATAAGTTGTTATGGACGCTCCTGATCTCAATCCGAATTGAGTTCATGCGAATCCGATTATTTTCATTCCCATTTTTGTCTCTTCCATACCTGGACCGTTATGAGACATAAAAACTGTAAGCAAGAGATAACAGTAGTTTACCGATGTTGAACCAGGAATAGGACACACAGATTAGACGACTATTATGTTATCTATAAAGATCTAAGGCCGCGAAAACATGTAGCGAGTGAGTTGGGACACAGACACGTCATTTCGGTATACCAAACATGTAGCGAGTGAGTTGGGACACAGACACGTCATTTCGGTATACCAAACATGTCGCTAGTGAATTGGGACACAGACACGTTATTTCGGTATACCAATTTGTGATGGCAACCGTAAAAAAAAAGTGCCGATTTCCGTCGATTTTCCTCATAACTTTGTTAGGACAGTTTTTGTCAGGAACACACTCCTGTTAATGAATTCGGTAAAGTGTGAACATGCACGAGCGTAAGTAACGTATTAATTAAGGTGTGTATACGCCAAATGATGGAACAGAGGGTACGTTACTGCTTAGAAATGGGAAGTTGACAATTGGAAAGTTGAAAGTGTTCATAGATGGTTTGAAGTTCTCCATATGTATCAATATTGTGGAAACGATCAACAGGTGAAGCAGATTTTCTGGTTTCGGTATTATCCTTAATCTCACGTTTATTCAGATATATGAGATGCAAGCACCTACTTAATGTTGTGCTATTGAGTGACAAAGGCATGTAATTCGGTATACTTTCTTTAAACAACTTGTTCTATTTATTTTTTATATCATTTTGTCTTGTTTTTCTGTGATTTCTTTTTAAAAAATCTGCAGTAAATAATTACTTGCTTAATACTATGGGTTTTAGTTACTTAGTATATTTTTTGTTTATTTTTAGAGCACATTTGAAGAGTAATGCCATGTCAAACAACTATTCAAACCGTGCATACGAGTTCACCAACGAAACGAACGAAAAGAAGACTTCATCTTTAAAAATTCTTGTTTGTGGACAATTATTAGGTATAATAGTTTTTATCATCGGCTTTGCTGCAGGGCTTTGCATTGGAATATTTGTGTACAATGGTAACGAATCAAAATTAGCACAGACGGAAAACTGTCAAAACCAAAGAGATACAGGAAGGTTGGAAACCAAACACGCCGTACAACCAGTTATTACAACAGCTACAAATGATATTCCGTCATTAGTAAATCGTGGTAAGGAGACATTAGACGAAACCGGAAATGTCATGAACAAAGACGGGGAGCACACAACGACATCAGATGATTCTGATTTACATACATGTAAAAGGTGTGTCTGGAGAAATCCGATCCTGCCATCAGAACGACCTAATTTATTTGCTCCTCTGAGTGCTGAAGAAATGATCCTCGTTCATAGAACTCTGGTGGACTTTAAAATTGTAGACGTTGATCATGGTCAAGAGATTTCGTTCAAATCTAATTTCATAGGAACAATGTTCTTACATCCACCTAACAAAAGTGCAGCTTTGCAGTATTTAGACGATGAAGGCAAGTTCCCGGGTAGATACGCAACTGCAGTCGTCATCAGAGGTAATATTGACCAAAAGGATTATATGCAATATAAGATTGGCCCATTGGAGGGACAATCACCCGCTGTCAAAGTGACCAAGCTATTGGAAAATGGAGAGGTGCCGTATGAAAGTAGACCTTATGATAATGTTGAAATAGGGGAGATAATTTTTTTCATTCTAGCGGATTTAGATAAACTAGCGGTGCTACTGAAAGACAGTTTTGACATAAACAACGTGTACGAAGACGTTTCTATCATGCCGAATGGGCCATATAATGACGGATCTGGGAGAGTTAGTCGGTTTACAATAGGATTAAGAGGTTTAGGTGATAAAGAGTTCGACTTCTTAAACATCCTACCATTTACTGGAAGATTGTCCCATAGCGGACAAAACACGTCAGATTGGTATACATTTGACTTCTTTTACTTAAATCAAGGTCCGTTTTCAAATATAACAGAGCTGATAAATGTATATAACAGTGGAAAACTGAAGTATATAAAATATCCGGAAGGGTACAAAGAGCATATAATTCAATCGACTCTTCCGATTAGAAATGTTTACTCTCCTGTAAGACCGGAATCCCAGTATCCGGGAACTAGTACATACGAACCTCATGGTCCTAGATATACAATTTCTGGTCATGCTGTCAATTGGATGGGTTGGTCGTTCACTGTTTCTACGGGTCAACACAGAGGACCGTCAATATTTGATGTAAGATTTCAGGGAGAAAGAATAATTTACGAAAATTCTTTGAACGAGATAGCACTGGTTTATTCTGCTGATGGCTCAGGACAAGATAACATGGTATACCTGGATTCTGTGTATGGGTTAGGAGAGGCAAAACGGGCCATTCCGCGAGTTGACTGTCCAGTTTACGCGTCCTACTTGAACAGTTCGAGTTGGAATCCCAGAGGACTAAAACCTTCAATTTTACCGACATTTTGTATTTTCGAGGTTAATGCTCAAGATCCTTTATGGCGGCACAAAGGGCCGCATGTTGAAGGCGGACTTAACAACAACTTTTTGGTGGCTAGGTATCCTACACAGGTTGGTAACTATGACTACATTATTGATTTTCAGTTTTATCTCGATGGAAGAGTTAAGACAACTGCTTCTGCCACTGGTTTTATTCAGGGGTCTTTTTGGAATCCGTCTTCAGATGTTCAAACTCCGTTCGGGTACAAAGTTACAAATTCTCTCATTGGTCCAATACATGATCATACATTTGGATTTAAGGTAGATATGGATGTAGCTGGCAAAGAAAATGACTTCCAGTTAATTCATTGGAAATACGGCGATAACAACCGTGCAATGAAAAACAAAAGTAAAACCGACTCTTCGAATTATTTCTTTTACAATCATACTAGATATATAGAATGGGATTATGTAGAGAAGGAAACTGGACTTAAAGTTGACACGGAAAACCAAAAATATTGGACCATGATCAATAGAAACAAGAAAAATAAACATGGTGTTAACCGCGGCTATAGAATTATTCCTATGACAACAAGTTCACAAAATCTTCCTGACGATTATCCAAGAATGCAGGAACTTTCGTTTACAAAATATCACTGTGCAATAACTAAACAGAAAGATAATGAACAATACTTAAAACCTCTGTATTTTCCAGTGGATAATAAACTTTTTAATGATACATCTCCTACACAATTATATTTACAAGATATGTTAGATGACGAGTCTATCGCAAATGAAGATATAGTGACTTGGTTATCAGTTGGATTTCTACATATTCCTACATCTGAAGATGTTCCCATGACAATTAAAGTAGAATCAGGATTCACGCTTAAACCCTTTAATTTCTTTGACAGGACAGCGACATTCGATGTGCCAGCTTTAGCAGTGTTCAATAATACTGTTTATGATAATGCACCTGTACCTGAAATGTGTATTTCTGAACCGTACCCTATTCAACATTAAGTCTACATTGTGTATGAAATCTATATGAAATTAAAACAAAATACATGTAACTCAAAGTTAAAACAACGATACAGATTGCACCAATCATGATGACATTTATCCAAATCATTGCAATCTTTGAACTTGTCGTAAAGTTAACTCCTACTATTTGAATTAAGGCTGATCAAGTGAGAGGAATATGTATTTTCTGTTCAATGGCCTGATAGATTAATGAAGAGCACAGTGATATTCGTAAATCTGTTCCACAGTCTGAAGGTAGCAAAGAGAACTCTTACTGAAACGCGTCCCTGTCTATAAGTAAACACCAACTATTCAGTAAAGTAACTTGAATTCTGAATAAGAATCTGTATTTAATCACTCGGTATCTTAATAAAGATCACATTTGTGTCGGAGGGAAAACTCCTCCACCTTAAGCGTACTCTTTGAAAACGTTGTTGCTTAAAAGTTTTAGACAAAATTTCACATTCATATATTTTATTGGCTTTGTATTTAATAGTTGTTTTACAGTAACGCAACAAAGGTGAAAATGTAATTAAGTAACTTTTGAAACGTCAGAGGTACATTGAAACGAGAAACAGAGATGGATTAGACAATTTGTAACAATGATAGATTAAAATGAATTTGTGGTAATTGATGTATATGAACAGCTCATTTTTGTTAGTATCATGCATGATGTTTAGGTTCATTAAATTTGAATGTTTCATTTAAAATGTTACGGGTTACCAATAAAGTAATTAAACTGCTTTCTCCTCAAGTTTGCTCTTGGTTAACCTTGTAATTCTTCTAAATACATCAAGTCGCTTGTTTAAAGTAATTAGTAACTAAGATGCCGCAAAGAGTAGTCACCTTACAATAAAGGCAACTGAGTGACAAGTTGATGATAGAATAATCACATTTTGCTTCAAATCGAGAGAAATGAAGTGTAAATATTCTGCGATTGGGCAAAACTTTAGATGAAAAAAAAATGTTTTAAATGCATATACGGATTGTTTATGTTTATTAAACATTGATTGAGTAACAATGAATTTGCGTCTGTCCAAATTTTAAAAAATGGACACATTCGCTGTTTAAAGGTTACTAGGATTTCAGATCATCGATTACGTTGCTTTTTTCAAAGATTGTATCCGTTGTATATTGGTTTATAATATGAAATTGTGGTTTTATTGTACTGAATAAGTTTAAGAAAAATATAGTAGAATATTTTATTCTTAAAGCCGTTTAAGATATTTGATAAAATATAATAAAGTATTGTATTACATGACTTTACGTGGGCAGGAAAATGCATGTAAATATATAATGAATGATGAATAGAGTAGATGCATTAATCAAACAAACAATAGCATATATCATATGAAGTAATTCATGTGTGAATATTAAATGTCAGTATATATTTAAAATCTCAGGCATAGATGTAATAAGAAAACAAGCAAAAAAAAAATTTAAAAGCTGAAAAAATCATGCAGTGTGCAAGGATTCAACTGACAAAATGTTTACATGTCTGATATCAAAGATCAAAATGACATGTTGAAACCAAGAAAAAGAAAATCAAAATCAAACTAATTTTACCCGAAGGCTGTTATTGAGGCATTCAAAGGAACCAATCTGTGTTTTGAAATGAAATAAAATGCAGTGATCTTAGCATAGTACAGTAACATAAAAAAATGTGTCGGGGTTGGTCGAAATTAGTGGGGGTAATCCCGATTCACTCAAACCTCTCCTTTTGGAGTTCGCATGATTCCATAATTTTTTGTTTGTTACCATGATTTGTATCTTCTAAATCTATTAATGAGATGTTAACAATTTTTATGTAGCTTAATATATAAAACAAAGAATAAAATTAACAATACTAGGAACATAAAGACATCCTTGGACTTTAAGTTCTTGGCTTGGGACATACACATAAGTTATGCAGTGTGACGCATGAACAAAAGAAAAGTAACTCTATTCCTATGATAAAAATGAGAAAGTCAGTAGTATATTGCCAAAGGGTACTTTTTGTGCACCCATGTTGGTCGACTTGTTTTGTATTCAAAAGGACCAGAATTCGTACAGAACATTCTCGAAAACAAAAAGACAAAGAATCTTGTAATTTTTTTCCATTTCACTTTAAAATATATTGATGATGTCCTGTCACTCAATAACCCACATTTCAGTGAGTGATTGCATCTCATAACTCCTAGTGAACCTGAGTTTAATTATACTACCGAAAGAAGGTCGCCTTCATATCTTGATTTTTCCTCAATGTTGACACAAACGGGCGACTTCTAACTAGAATCAATGACAAACGTGTTGATTTCAATTGTCGTTTTCCCACTTATCAGCAGTAGCATACCCTAGAGATGTCTAATCGTATAACATATAACTCACTCAATTAATACGTTACGTGCATGTCCACACTATATAGACTTCGTGAACAGAGTTGTGCTCCTTACATAAAAGCTGCTCCAACAGTTATGATGAAGAACGATTGAAATTGACACTATAAATAAGTTTTACGGTCAACCGCACGAATTAGTCGACCAAAAAGTTGTGTATGTGTCTCAATTCACTACCGACATGTTTTCGCGATATTGGATCTCAAGATACCAAAAAACCGATCTGTTATTTTTACAGAGTATGTTCTTCTCCCGATTGTGATATTTTGACTGAGTGTGATTTCGCATGACAGATGATGCATACATAACAGGAGACGCTCATCCTGTCGACGCATTAGGTCTCGCTCCTTTAGGAGTTCAGGCAAAGTTCCCGGCCTAGTTTTGAGTGATATCTTGATTTGTATCTTCTTAATCGATTAAGTAGATTTGAAAATCGGTAAACTACTGTTGCCTAAATTTATGTAGGTAAACATACTGATTTAAAAGTTATTTTGAAACAAGAGTCGTATATTTTGTACATAAGATGGCGAAAGTCTCGATGTTTATTAATTGGAATGTGGTCCGATTGCTTAGTGACTTAAATTCAAATAATCTTTGCTGCATTTCAATCGATTTTTTTTATGGTTTTACATAAATTATTGCCTATTGTTTGTTCTCAACGATTTTTATTTTAAGAAGAAAATGATAGCATTATATATGGTATTTTTATTTAGCATTATAACTATTTATTGAGAACATTTTCTTGTGAATTTACGAAGAAAGCGCCAAACATTAAAGATTTCCTTTCATAGCGAGAGTATAATAAACTTATCATAACCTGACAACAACAAAACAGACGTAAAATACCAAGGTGACATTCAAAACTCAGAAGTAGAAGATAAACTGACAACGCCGTTACAAAAACTCAGAAGTAGAAGGGAAACTGACAACGCCGTTACAAAAAATAAAACAAATAAAAGACATACAAGTTTACTAAACACTACATAGAAAACTAAAACCTATGTATCACAAACCTCAGTAAAAACCGGGGTCGATTTCAAGTGCTCCGGAAGGGTAGACAGACCGTCATGTTGCTCACGGTTAGTATCAATTCGGTGATGTCACTATCCAGCAAAAGAGAACGAGATTGTAGTTACGACAATTGAAACATGGACAATGGTATAACAATAGACCAATACAACAAACTGAATAAAACAAGAATGTTCAATGGTCATTGAGAATGGATTTGTTTCATTCGATTGAAAGCAATAGAAACATCAAAAGAAAAAAACAGTTTTGACTGTTTCGAACTCCTGTCGTTAATGTGTCACCGATTTCTCAAATTCTGTCGCGTTTTTCTTCAACCATTATTTACCTTTTCTGTTGAAATTAGTCATTTTATTACATCTTATAAGGATCGTTAGTCATTTCGTAGGTTTACAGTTCAGTTAGTTTAAACCTATTTATTATCATAACTGCAAGACAAATGCATTGGACACACACTATATAATTTAGAATTGCTCTTCTCATATTTATTACATAGAATACATATCAAGATATTCATTACAATAAATTGTTTAGAGAAGATACATCTGAGCTATAGTAAAAATATTGTGAAAGTAAAAATCTCTACTTGTAATGTCAAGATGTATTATGAGCTAGGCAGTTGCCATTATTGCACACCATAGAATGTATATTTTATTTTTAAATACTGGTTTAAGCTGGTATGTACCGCAAACTGCATTTTGAAGAACTGGTATTGTGTTTTATATGATGATTTACAAAAACGGCCAACTAATAAGACAAATTGTTTTTTTTAATGAGCTGCTTATTATAGGTTTAGGTGATATATTGTATAATCGAGGTTATTTTATGCACAATAAGCTCTCCTGTGCTTTTTACTTTTAAACTGCTTGATTATCTGAAGCAATATATTGATAGCCAAATGAGTACTTTAGTTAAATGTTCAAGTTTTAGATATATGGTTCACAATTTTTGTTTACAATATTACTTATGTAAACCAATAGCAGTAATTTATAAGACATGCATTACCAAAAATAAGACTTTAGTAGTCATAATCTAGCTATAGAATGTGGACGTTACTTTGAAATTTTCAAAAGAAATTAACTGTAGTTTTTGAAAGGATGACATTGAGGATGAGCTACATTTCATTTTAAAACGTCCAGCGTATCAAGGTCTCAGATCTAATATCATTGAACCTTGAGAGGTCATACCGGTGTTATGTTGCCAGAGAAATTTCCTTGCCGTTTGACTGATAACCGAACGTATTTTGTATAATTTCGCGGATAATTTTATTATCGAGTGCAAAATAGCAGTCCTTATCGCTTGTTATATTTTAATTTCATCAATCAATATTCATAATTTTTAAGACTTTGACATAGATAAATGTATGAAAATGTTTTGTCGTGAGAAATATATATATCAATAACAAATCATGGATACCGAAAAATTGTGTTAACGCATGCGGAAGAATATCTCGAGAACGTTTTGCAACAAAAACGGGAAAATATGAATGCCTACTCAAATCCAATCTATAAGAAAAACGAATTATTACAGAAGAGTGTCCACCATGCACTTGCACTGCACTATCATTAGCATATTAGAATAGAATGATATATAAATGGATGAAAATTTGCCTGTAGAGTCATTAAGATGATCTGCTATATATATAACTGGTATACAAATATTACTATAACAACAAACCCGAGTATACTTGTAACAAATGATTATATCACTACAATATAATAATTATTACGGTGAGGTTGAATTCCCTGTCTTTATTCATCATCCACACAGGAACTTGTCTCAGAAAAAATATATCTATGTACCTTAACTTTCAGGGATAGATATGTGATTTTTTTTCTGAGACAAGTGTTTGTGACCATCCACCAGAACTTGCGGTCATCCGATGTTTAGTACTTCAATACTTTGATTAATTCATGCAAGTGACCTTTCCTCCAAATCATAACTCTCAACTCTAAACTGTAATGGTGAATTCATAAAGAAAATGTATCTCTGATCGTTAAAATCCACGAAGGTCACTTGATCGAATACACAGCCCATACATTACTGTTCAAAAGTGGGGAAATAGCAGTAGAATTCAATCTTTTGGGTAATGGATTGTACAAATTTATTTTGAAACATTGATGCTCACTAGTGAAAATTCATATGAAAAGTTTAATTAACTGTTGTTGAAGCTATCCTCTCACTAGAGAAAAAATTTACAGACCGTAATCGTCATTTTTCTTTTCTGTTTAGCAACAACCGATAAGGAATAAACGCATTATATTGCTACAAAGGGAAAATATATATAATGTGTTAGGTATAAGGAAAATATATGTTTTTATTTAAAGCATTGTTTTCGTTATCAGCAGGATACAATGCAAGAGAAAACACATTTAAGGAATGACTGTAATATTTTTTCTGTCTATGAAGAAATGGTTATTTAAAAGTGTGCACCACATTTTTTTAGGTTATTTCGAATAGACAGAAAAAATATTACAGTCATTCCTCAAGTTATAATTTAATTCTAAATTCCATTTTTAAGGAGTAAATTTAAAAAAAAAAACGTTGGTGACGTCACGGTCACATGACAAAATTATGTTTATGAGCTGATAGACAAAACACTTTCAGCCAATCAGAAGACGTGTTACATCCAAAATTAAATTATTATGCTATAGTCTCAAATTTAGAAAATCGTAAGGTGTTATTTATCGGAGAGTAACATTACTCTTAGTAAGCAAAACTTAAAACAAAATTGTGATACGCTTACAGTTCCAATGTGGATTACTATCGAGTTAAAACATATATAAAGAATAAGAATTATTCCTATTAAATAGTTGAATAATTGTCAGGATTCAATAAACCCCATACTGACTATATAAATCAAACTCAGTACGTTTGCAGCTGCAAATATTTCATCCAATAACTTACAAAGCTAACATCTCAGTTCAAAATTGTACTAATCTTCTCAAAAATGTAAGATAAATTGGGGAACTCTCGCAAAAAATTGACTGGAAAAATATTCAGAGATGGATATAAGGGGCGAAAAACTAAAGCCTTAATTCGTCATCAGTCGTAATGCCTATATTCTTTCGACACTTGACATTAAACGTAGCATGCACTGAACATAATATTCTCTGGGTAACATCCATCACTATCCTTGATATGGATTTTTAAGAAAATGGAGTGAAACTCCTTCCCTCCATCTCTTCGCCATACTATGTTCCGACAAGGTTCACAGTAGGCAGTTATGTGATTTACTACCCCGGTATGCATTACCAAGACAGGATTATTAGCCGACTCGCAAATAGGATGAAATATAGCAGAGTAATACTATTATAACTACCCAGGAACATATATATAGATATACTGTTCCCAGAACTACCGTACTCTTTAAATTTTCTATGTAATGTTTTGTAACTGTTGTTTGTCTTTTCATTTTGCCACAGTTTTAATAGTTTGTTTTTTTCTGAGACTTACAGTTTTCGAATAACCAATTGGTATCGTTCCCTTTATGTACATTAACTATGGCTAACAAAATCTTTTTTAAATATTCAGAGTACAGAATACTTTTTATGGCAATTCACTACACGTCAGGTAAGTGTTGATTCATCAATTCATTTATATACATACCAACGTCAAATTTTATGTTTTCTCCTTTAAAATGGCTTTCCTTTACAGAAAGAGTAAAATGCCTACAATCAATTCTAATGTATAAAATTGAAAATGGACTAACACCTGATTACTTATCAGTATTATGCAACCAAGGTATTGAATGATTTACAATCCACAATAACAGTAATGTGAAATTATTCAAGAAACATTGTTACACAATCATTTTTTTAAAAATTCTATGCAAGTTAAATATTTTTTCTTTTATGGTTATAATATGAAATTTTTGAGTGATTCAGAAGATAAACTGATATATTTAGATAATTATTCGTTTTGTACGGGATTCTGTCATTTGTATCAACATAACGACTGGTTTGTTCTACTGTTGTCCCTATCTTAGCCTATTCATGGTAATGATATTGGAACCAGATAATTTCACTTCGACGATGTCTCTGTCAGGGTTGAGAAGACCAGTGTGCTTAATTCCTAAATTTGCCTTATGTATTGGTCGATCATTAACAGTTCCGATATGTGCGAAAAGAAGAAATGTTCCGAAAGTAATGTCTGTTCAAAAATTTTCAGCATCGGTTCCTAAACCAAAGAAAGAAACGTAAGTTCACTTGCCGACCAGGGTTCATTCGCTGACATTGCGTAATCCCTATCTGAACCTTTGACGATTTTAGAATTCCAAAACATTGGTTCAAAATGTGTATGGTTAGGCTAAAGGTGTCATACTGAAGAGTCTGTAAAAGTCTGGATGAGTCTGATGGGCTAAAATTGGTTTATTTGTGTTAATAACAATAAAATATTATTTATAATGTATTATTTTATTGAGAATCCATGAGAACTTGCTCCATTGCCAAATCGCCCCAGACCAACTTGCCCTAACTTTCTTCAAACTTGCCCCATTTTCTGCCAACTCACCCCACTAATGAAAAGAAATTGATTCCCCCAGAAACTTTAGGCCTGCCAACTCGCCATTCAAATAATAATGATTTAATCCCTCTGTATTAAGAGGTATCAGGTCTGTTCGCCCTGATTACAATTCAATTCAATTAAATGTTTTATTATAGTCTCATCTCTTAACAAGTATAAATTGTAAAAACAATTCTACATGAAATGAGAGCCATTCTATACAGAATTATAATAGACTTATTGAAGACCTGTTGGTGGCCTTCTGCTGTTGTCTGTTCTGTGGTCGGGTTGTTGTCTCTTTGACACATTCCCCATTTCCATTCTCAATTTTATTAAAATGCATAGATATACTACCAGGGTTTCCCCTGGCTCAATTTTTTGTTTCGCCACCTCTTTCGCCATAACATAGCTTTCGGCACTTTCAATTTTTTTTTCGCCAACATGTGAAATAAACATATTTTACGTTTATAATTCTTTCCAACAAAAAAAACATCAGTTTGCCACATTGTTGTCTATTATAATTCTTATTTTTTTCTTTAATCTACATGTACCTTGTTATAAACAGACACTCAATAATAACAAACATTTACTTTTTATACGTCGTATATTGGTATGACGTCGTCGTCCGAAGACACATTGGTTTTCGCACTCTAACTTTAGTTTAAGTGAATGGATCTCTATGAAATTTTACCATAAGGTTCAATACCACAAAAGGAAGGTGGGGATTGATTTTGGGGGTTATGGTACCAACATTTAAGGAATTAGGGGCCAAGAAGGGGCCAAAAATAAGCATTTTTGTAACTTCCAGACATAACTTGTGTGTTAGTGTATGGATCTCTCTGACATTGTACCACAAGGTTCCATATCACAAAGGGAATGCTGGGATTGATTTTGGGGGTAATTGCCTCCAAATTTAAGGAATTATGGGCCAAAAAAGGGGCAAAAAAACAAGCATTTTTCTAGTTTCATGACAATAACTTGTGTGTAAGTGTATGGATCTCTCTGACATTGTACCACAAGGTTCCATATCACAAAGGGAATGCTGGGATTGATTTTGGGGGTAATTGCCTCAAAATTGTAGGAATGAGGGGCCAAAAAGGGACAAAAAATAAGCATTTTTCTAGTTTCCAGACAATAACTTGTGTTCAAGTGTATGGATCTCTCTGAAATTGTACTGCAAGGTACCATACCACAAAGGGAAGGCTGGGATTGAGTTTGGGGGTGATGAATCATAAGGGGGTTCAAAAAATTTGGGGGGTGGATTTTTTTTTTCATTTTTTTCTGTAAAATTTTCCATTTTAAATTGGTTATTTCTGAATTATATATAAAAGCAAATAATAATGATATGGTTTGAATAGGTAAATTAAAATTTTTTAAGTTCTTAGACCACATTCATTATGTGTCAGAAACCTATGCTGTGTCAAATATTTAATTACAATCCAAATTCAGTGCTGTATCAAGCTTGAATGTTGTGTCTATACTTGCTCCAACTGTTCAGGGTTCGACCTCTGGTCGTATCAAGCTGCGCCCCAGTGGAGCATTTTATTAAAAGATACTGTAAAATTGCAATATAGATCATGAAATCACAATTTTTGACTTCTACGAACAAGGAATTCATCTTCAATAAGTATCCGATACTTCTCGTCAAGGATCCAGAAATTTTTACACACAATTTCAGTCATTTTGAGATAACTTAAAGTTGGTGCCCTTTTTTCAAAAAAATTGTTGAAATCATACTAGATTCATAGCATCAACGAACTTGTATTGACTGTTTTATCACATTTACTTCATGAATTTTCCTACCATTTTTCTTAAAACATAAAAGAACAGTTTAAAATTAAAATGATATTAATGACTGGAAATGGTAAATTTCTCAGACATCGCTAACGTTTCTTTCGATTTTGAAGACGAAATTAAAACCGTATGTTTTTGGACGATACTCAAGTACGAGTGGATTCGTTTTGTTTATTAAATTGACAGGAAATCACCAGCTTTTTAATTTTATTACCTTTACAAGTGTTTAAATTTCACAGATAATAGTTCCACTTGTTTTTTTAAGCATGAAATTTTTTTGCATTTTACGATTAAGTGTCTAATCTGCTGAAGACAATTTCACGCATGCATATTACATAGCAAATAAAGCACATGTGTAACTTGTGAAAAATTACTATTTTCTACGTAAATTAAATTATTAAAGTTTTGATTTTTAAATCAGAATTGAAGATTGTCTTTGCTGAAAAGTAATTAAATAATGAAGACAGTTGCCATGGAATTTTAATTTCATTATGATATTAGTTCTGAGATGGTGATCAATGTCAGGTGTGAATTAAAAACACAGGTAAAAAGTGATTAGCGATCATTAGCCAATATTTCCCAGAGGCATTAACATAGTTATTAGGAGGGCCCTCAGGATTATCATACTATACTGGAGTGGCAGTTTTTTTTTCAGGAAAGGGATATCAAAACAAAAACAAGTGCAAAATGGTGATTAAGAAACCCGATCTCAACGAAATGGCAGAAATTATTTCTGTAAAAAAATAAAATTTGTCCTAAATCCCAATCTGTCGTTTAGGACAAATAGCTTTCTGTTTCGGTCATGACTGGCAAATATGACCATTTCAGGACCCTTGCTTCCCGTCTAAATGAAGAATAAAGACTAAAGTCAAGAGATTTTTCAAACTTTTGAATACATTTCTTCATGACAACAGTTTTCTTTTCCTGACCATCGTCAATAGAAAAAGTCGAGACATAAAACTATGCTTCAAACACGTGCGTCGCTAAAACGATTGTACAGTACCCTCTTCAGAACAGTTATTGCTATCAAAGTAAAAGGATAAAGTTTAAAGTCGGATATCTGTCTTACTTTTGAACAGTTTTCGTCATAATAACAGTTTTCGTTTTCGGACCATCGTTAAAAGAAAAAAACTATGCTTCAAACACATGCGTCTATAAACAACAATTGTGAAGTACCCACTTCAAAACATTTATTTCTATCAAAGTTGTAAATAAATCCTTTAGGTGACATGTGATGCCATTTAACCACACAATTTCATTAAACAAAACAATCAACACCTTTATTAACTAGTCAATTGTTGCCCATAGCTATAAAATGCAATCAGGTGATTATTGATTTTCTTTCAAAATTGTAACAAGTTCAAGGTAAATGCTCAGTGTTGCCTGATCAGGGAAAAAGTCTGAAAACTTAATTTTGGCAAAATTTTTTACTGTTCCAATCCTTTTGATTATTAATGAGAGATTGTGTGGAACCATGAACCCATATATCCTTGTTTTTTTACAGAATTTGTTTATACTTTGTGGATAGAGATGGGGACCGTATAACAGTAAATGCTGGCGTGGGCAGCAACTTTCTGGATGTGGCTATAGATAATGATATAGAATTAGAAGGTATTTAAATATTTAGTATGAATAAGTGGTTAAATTTTATATTTTCAGAGTGTCACTTTGCTTCAAGTTAACTGATGGTTCAGAACATACAGCTATAGCCAAAGTTGGTGATAATCTACTAGATATCATTATAGATAATGATATTGATGTGGATGGATTTGGTTTGTACATAATTTAATTATACATGTTGTACATTCAAATACATGAAATAACTTATTTTAAAAAATTGGAAACCATAAACATGTATGATGAAAGCTAAAAATTTATATATTACTATAGATTAAATATGAAATTTAACCACTTTGAGAATTTTAAATTGTATAATCTTTTCAGGAATTATGTTCAGTCATTTATTTAATGTTGAAGGTCCATATTCTTTCCATTTATTCTGACTTCCTTAAAAACTTGTAGCCATGATATTATTGTCATGTGTGCTGAAAGTGGCGTTAAACACCATCAGTTAATCAATTATTTGAAATTTCTACCATTTAATGGAAAATTTATTGCTAGGACAAAGGTTCATACAATAAGTCACTTTTATTTAAAGACCCATTGGTCAATTAGACTTTTAAAGAGTTATGACAACTTCTGACATTCAGAGGGGCAATTTGTCAAAGTCTAATCAGATTTTTTATTCCTTGTAACCAAATGATAATGGAATAGAAATGATACAATGAAATGGACACTGGGATACTGAGAATATTTTATACATGGATAAAAAAACATCACTTTATTGACAAATTAATGCTCTATAGAATGGAAAACAAATCATGACATGATCTTACTACATCAGTAACAATAAGCCTTCATATCAAAATCACACCATTTACAATAACAATTATCAGTTGTCAGACTTATTTGTCACTATTTATTTGCAAAAATCAATTTATGAACAGGTGCTTGTGAGGGAACCCTGGCGTGCTCTACTTGTCATTTAATCTTCAAGCCAGATCAATACGATCAAATCCATGAAAAACCTACAGACGAAGAACTTGACATGTTGGATCTAGCTTTTGGTTTAAGTGATACGTAAGTGTAGATATTAATAACAAACATGGTCAGTACTAAAATGTTGTATGGTGTTCATCGAATGTTATTGTTATGTTGTTTATGGAATGTTATTGATGACTAATTCCATAATGTCATGTAAGATATCACTTCCAGTTTAAAAATTGATTACAGAGAAAGAAAATGTGGAGAATCTTCATGTTAAGTTTATAATATAATATACAAGGAAAAGAATATAATCAAAATCATGACAAAGTTTCCAACTACTTCAGGCAAAGTAACCTTACACATGGCACATTTTGTCTTTTTTAAAAATCTACTCTATGCAAAAACAAATGAATAATTTGTTAAAGAAAGAACAGCACATCCAAAACAGCCAATTTGACATGTTTGATTTTGATACATAGCAATTAGAAGTCAATATACTGTCTTTAACAAAGATAGAAATCATACCACAGAGCAACCTCCACGACATTAAGAAATTTAAAATATATCTATAGCTTATACAATGTATAATTTATAGTAAAAAAAAAAACATCATAGGGCAACATACTCTAAAATATGGTCTGGTCTGACAGAGTTGATATGAATAAAAAGGATCAGTTATTTCAGATATCAGTCTACAAATGCAAATTAAAGTATTTAACAAAGAATGCAATTGAAATAAAAGACATTCAACTGATGACTTATTGTATTTTCAGGTCAAGGTTAGGTTGCCAGGTGATAGTAACTAAGGAAATGGACGGTTGGGAAATAGAGGTGCCCTCTGGTGTAGCTGATGCTAGAGGATGACCTTGGTTAATGCTTAGGTGTTTTAACTGATAAATTTGTAATACATATTGTTATAGTATTGTAAAGTGCAGGTGGCATATATTAAGTCTGTCTTAATACGGCAGGATATACAAGACATTACAAAATCAATGATTAACTTGTATGTTTTGAAAGTCCAATTATCATCAATTTGTTATTTATCATCAATTCTGTCATTTATAACAGTATAAAACATCATTGTATGACTTTTTAAAGGCATTCTTGATTCATTTTGTGCCAATTTTTTTCGGCTGGGATTTACCAGGCATATTCTAATTAACTGAATCTAGTTTGGTATATATATATGAGGATTTATTTAATAGACTTTAAGAAAGAAAGAAATTGTAACTTGCAAAAAACCTATGAGATTTTAGATTATGAAAATAAGAAAATAACTATCTTAAGCTATGTTGTGAAATAAGGAACAGTGGATATTATCCTTTATTTATCAGACATTACATTTTTATATGGAAATGTTTTTTGAAAACATAATTGATTTTTAACCTGATGTAATGACATAACTATTGAATCAAATTCAAAGTAGAGCAAACAGGAGATTACATTTATTTCTAATATAACATTTTATTAAAGCAATCGTAATAACCTTTTGTTACTTTGTTAATTAATATTGTTTTAGCTTGATTGGACCAAAAGGTCAGCTTGAACTTTTCTCATTAGGTTTCCTCCATTTTCCATTTTTAAATTTGGTAAATTTACAGCAAACTTTTGGTATGTGTTGTGTAATTGGAGTTTTAGCTTTTGTGGAAGTTTCATATTTTTTGACTTGAAACGTGTCATGAACTCTGTCCAATTATTTCTTAATAGGGTACCAAAAGGAGTTTTATTGCATTTTTATGGACTGACATGTTTAGGAACTTTATTTCGATTTGTGATTAATTAAGCATTCACTAGGTTTCTGGCTTCTTGGAGCCTCTAGTTATTTTACCAGTTTACTAAGCTTTTTTTCAGGTGGATAGTTATGTGCAGGTTCAAAAGGTTTTAATCAGCAGGAAGACATGTTTTCCCATTTAGACATATGATTCCTACATGTAAGCAAAATAAGGAGCTTCCATTGCAAAGTGGTCTATGTAGTTCATCTGCAGTAATCACTAGCCTGTCAACACTGAGGTTGTGAATATGAACCCTGTTCATGGCAGGTGCGTTCATTTCCTATCTTAATTGACTAGGATTGCCAGTTTTCCTGTTAAAGGTAGGTGGTTCTCTCTGGGTAAAACAGCTTCCTCCAATAAACTCCAGCCGTCATGATATAGCCATGAGTGCTGAAAGTGGCATTAAACACCAGCACTCAATCATTCAATGTAAGCAAACAGTCTTGAACAGTGAATTGGCAAATAGCAAATGATTTGACCTGACTGTGGATTGAGCCCACAATGTATACACACGTGGCAAACAGTATACCATGAAAATACTGAGCCAGTGTGCCATAACTATAGATAAACAGGTTGTAGGTATAAATAAATGAAGAGTTAATATGAGCATACTCTTTTGATTATAGATTTACATAATATCAATTTTAGAATATATTTGTTGAAGGTGAAATCATATTTTTTTTAAAGCACTTACCTATTAAAAATGGGATTTTCTCTCCCTTTATAAATGGATCATATTATGTTGGGGGAGATCCACTCTGAAATCTGATGTTTTCTTTGTCCTAAGTAATTGCAGTACATTTATATTACACACACTGTGACAGTTTATTTACCTAAGTGAATTAGGCACAGTTGGTATGTTAAAACACAGGTTATTAAACTAGTGAAAAATCATTCTACTGAATAGAAAGACTTTCACTTATAATACTTATTAAATTGAAATATTTTAAAACTCCTGACAAAGTTACATTTTATAAAATGGATTAGAGTTGTCTCCCTTTGCTCAATTTATATTGGCAGGATGATTTCAAACACTCAAAATCTTACTAAATAAGTAAGTCTGTTGTTGGTGAAATGAATAATACTTTTTGAATTATGATATTTTACATTTTAACTGAATTATAATATTATACTTTTTAACTAGATTTTTATAATACATCATGTATTTGACTTTTTTACCTGTTGATTGGCTCTATTTTCTTATATAGATAAGTAACTCTCTCTGTGATAAATAAAGGCAACAGTAGTATACCGCTTTTCAATAGTCATAAATCAATTAAGAAAAACAAATCCGGGTCACAAACCAAAACCGAGGGAAACACATCAACTATATGATAAGAAGCACCTACCTAAGATTTCTTTTTGTGTTCCCTTAAGTAAACACAGGATAAAATGTCTGCTTACTCCAAGGGATTGAAAATAAGAGACATATGCTTATGTGCAAACCAAAAGATGGAATTGCTCTTCTTATTGATTCTGTGTTTGATAGAAAGATTATTTTGGCTTTCACATCACAGTATATGGACTTTTTTCACTATTATTGCATTTGCAGCACCTTCTACACAAAGTTAGTCACCTCACTTGACTGTCTTAAAATTTTGAAAGTTGAACTTTGAAAATGATTTATTACTTAGATTTTTTTATGGTTGCACATCAGAAAGCATGGCCTTTGCCAGGTATTCATGTATTGAAGAAAAAGTCTGTTCACATAAACTGTATCTTATCTCTTTAATTCAAAAACTGACCACAAAAATCAGACACAGCTTTATTTATAGTCTATATTTGAAAATATAATCATCTGATTAAACACAATTCAATTGTGTTTGTAATTAAATTCCCTGTGTCATAAGTTTTGATATAAGAGGCCCAACAATTTAAACTTAATCCTTTCATTTTGATTTTGATGGGTTTATGAATTTTTGCCAGTATTTGTCAGTTACATTTTACCATAGAAAGGATGATAGTATTTGATAGTTTTATAAAGGCAAGAATTTAATTCTTGCCTTTATAAAACTATCCAATACTGTTCAATTTTTACTCAGGCCTATGACATGTTCAGGAAGCAATAACATAAAGAACCTGAATTCAACATTGAACCTAAAAAAATATATTGACACTGTTAAGTCTTTATGAAAATATCAGTTGTTTGTTGGAAGGTGAAGTGCTTCAAAATGTTACCCTATATTAGGATGGATAAACTGTATGTAAACTATAATATATATATAAATGTTTATATGATTGTGTCTGTGTGTGTGTGTGTTTGAATATCTATTCAAAAAATTTCAAAAATGCACTTCTCAGAAAATGAAAATATATTAGATATATTTTGTATACTAATAGGGTCTAGAGCAACACTAGTGCAAAAGAATTAGGCAGTAATTTGATATATATTTATTATACTTATTTGTACATGTATTGCAATTGTATGAGGAAGTAAAATGATGTGTCTCTATTGATCACAAACATAATAAAACAGGTATTAGATGTAAACAGAGTTATTATTTTGTCAATAAATTATTTTATTTTAGATCTTTTTTCTAAATGCCAGAGGTTATAAGAAATTTGAATTCTTCCTGCTTCCTGGTGTGTAATATCTACCAGTATCATTGCAGTTCATGTAGATCTATCTGTCCAGAACTCATCATTTTGAATTCGGACTGGCCAAAAATTTGATCTTGTAGATGCTTCATTATACAGAATTATCTTCTGGACTTGTGACATTTAATTGGTACAAGTATCTCTGATAATTTAGAAAGGATATTTATTTTTATAGATTAAATACTATTTCCATTGGCGGATCCATTTAAAAAAAATTTTATGCCCGCCATAGCGGAGGGGGCATTAAGTTTTACCCTGTCCATCTGTACGTACGTCCGTCCGTAAGTCCCAAAGTTGGTTTCTGTTCTCTAACTTTAGTTTGCTTGAAAAAATGTTATGAAACTTATACAAAATGCTTATTACCACAAAACACAGATCAAGTGTGAATTTTGGTGGCGTCACTTTAACCGTTTTAGAGTTGTGCCCCTTTACAAATGGAAAAATTGCTGAATTTTTCGTTTCCGTTCTCTAACTTTAGTTTGCCTCAACCAAATTTATGAAACTTATACGCAATGCTTATAACCACAAAACACAGATCAATTTGAATTTTGATGGTGTCACTTTACCCGTTTTAGAGTTATGCCCCTTTACAAATGGAAAAATTGCTGAATTTTTCGTTTCCGTTCTCTTACTTTAGTTTGCCTCAACCAAATGTTATGAAACTTATACACAATGCTTATTACCACAAAACACAGATCAAATTTGAATTTTGGTGGTGTCACTTTAACCGTTCTAGAGTTATGCCCCATTACAAATGGAATAAAATGCTCCGCAGGGCGCAGCTTGATACGACCGCAGAGGTCGAACCCTGAACAGTTGGGGCAAGTATGGACACAACATTCAAGCTTGATACAGCTCTGAATTTGGATTGTGATTAAATATTTGACACAGCATAGGTTTCTGACACAGAATAAATGTGGTCTAAGAACTTAGAAATTTTAAATTGGACATTCACCTATTATGGTCCAATATCCAAAATCTAAATACATGGTTAGATTCAGCATATCAAAGAACCCCAAGAATTCAATTTTTGATGAAATCAAACAAAGTTTAATTTTGGACCCCGATTTGGACCAACTTGAAAACTGGGCCCATAATCAAAAATCTAAATACATGTTTAGATTCAGCATATCAAAGAACCCTAAAAATTCAATTTTTGTTAAAATCAAACTAAGTTTAATTTTGGACCCTTTGGACCTTAATGTAGACCAATTTGAAAACGGAACCAAAAATTAAGAATCTAAATACACGGTTAGATTCGGCATATCAAAGAACCCCAATAATTCAATTTTTGATGAAATCAAACAAAGTTAAATTTTGGACCCTTTTGAACTCAATGTGGACAAAGTTGATAACAGGGCCCAAAAATCAAAATACATGGTTAGATTCAGCATATCAAAGAACCCCATATATTCAATTTTTGTTGAAATCAAACAAAGTTTAATTTTGGACCCCGATTTGGACCAACTTGAAAACTGGGCCCATAATCAAAAATCTAAATACATGTTTAGATTCAGCATATCAAAGAACCCTAAAAATTCAATTTTTGTTAAAATCAAACTAAGTTTAATTTTGGACCCTTTGGACCTTAATGTAGACCAATTTGAAAACGGAACCAAAAATTAAGAATCTAAATACACGGTTAGATTCAGCATATCAAAGAACCCCAATAATTCAATTTTTGATGAAATCAAACAAAGTTAAATTTTGGACCCTTTGGACCTCAATGTGGACCAATTTAAAAACGGGGCCCAAAATCCAAAAACTTAATACACGGTTAGATTCAGCATATTAAAGAACCCCAAGAATTCAAGAATAAAACCCCATTGAAATTGATCAAGAAATAAGCAATTTATACGAAGTATCTTCTTTTGCACAAAACTGTGCAATTGAATATTTCTTGCTATTGCGCAATACTGTACAATTGACAATTTCTTGCTATTGCGCAATATTGTGCTATTGGATATTTCTTGCTATTGCGCAATACTGTGCAATTGAAGATTTCTTGCTATTGCGCAATACTGTGCAATTGAAGATTTCTTGCTATTGTGCAATACTGTGCAATTGAAAATTTCTTGCTATTGCACAATACTTATTAGATAATAATTTACACATCCTGTTTGGTGTGTATCTCCTACCATATCATTATTATTTGATTTTAAATATTAATCAGAAATAACCAACTTAAAATGGAAAATTTTTAAAGAAAAAAAAAAGGAAAAAAAGAAAAAAAAAGAAAAAAAAAAAATCCCCCCCCCAATTTTTTGAACCCCCTTATGATTCATCACCCCCAAACTCAATCCCAGCCTTCCCTTTGTGGTATGGTACCTTGCAGTACAATTTCAGAGAGATCCATACACTTGAACACAAGTTATTGTCTGGAAACTAGAAAAATGCTTATTTTTGGCCCCTTTTTGGCCCCCAATTCCTAAACGTTTCGGGCAATTACCCCCAAACTCAATTCCAGCTTTCCCTTTGAGATATGGAACCTTGTAGTACAATTTCAGAAATATCCAAACACTTACACACAAGTTATTGTCATGAAACTAGAAAAATGCTTGTTTTTTGCCCCTTTTTTTGCCCCTAATTCCTAAAATTTTGAGGCAATTACCCCCAAAATCAATTACAGCCTTTCCTTTGTGATATGGAACCTTGTGGTACAATGTCAGAGAGATCCATACACTTACACACAAGTTATTGTCTGGAAGTTACAAAAATGCTTATTTTTGGCCCCTTTTTGGCCCCTAATTCCTTAACTGTTGGTACCATAACCCCCAAAATCAATCCCAACCTTCCTTTCGTGGTATTGAACCTTATGGTAAAATTTCATGGAGATCCATTCACTTAAACTAAAGTTAGAGTGCGAAAACCAATGTGTCTTCGGACGACGCCAGAAGACGACGACGACGACGACGACGACGACGACGCCGGACGACGACGACGCCAACGTCATACCAATATACGACCAAAAAATTTTTAATTTTTGCGGTCGTATAAAAATTGCTGAATTTGCTTAATGTTCTTCAGTTTTGTCCCTTTATAACTTTATATGATATGCAAGCGGGGGCATCATCTGTGTCCCATGGACACATTCCCCATTTATTTTTAAATGTGTGAATGTTTCATGGTGTTCCAGGGGTTGGAACCCCCCTTATCAAAATAGCTGGATCTGCACCTGATTTCATTGAAAAATTTACATTTGGGAGTTAGATAAGTACAGTACTGACAACTCGCTCACATCCTGTTTAAATTTGTTTATTGTAACATAAAGCATATAATTTGAGTTAGTACTAGTTCAGTAAATTGGTTTCATATACAATTACCAAGCAATAATATAAGATTTTGTATCTTTGAAGACAGTTCTATTATGTCTCTCAATAAAGGCAAATAAAAAAAATTTAAACAGTAAATTGTGGTTTTAGCTGTCACGCAAGCATATATATTCATAGAGTGAAGGAGCCGAATAAACCATACAAATATTTGGTGTACTAAATTTTAAATAATACTTATACAGTCACTAATAATCATGAAAGCTTATGATTAATTATCAGTAAAAAGTTATTTAAACATCCACAGAAAATATTTTCTGTGTGTATTTAGAAATATCTTCAAAGTAAATAAAATTGAAAAATAAAAGAGAATTTGATGTTAGTAATAGAACTATTCTACTGTTGGAAATCAGAAGATATTTTGTATATGTATATGAAACACAGTAGGCATCTTGAATAGATGATAACTGAAGGTTCTTAAATATCTGTTTTTACCCAAGATTGAAGGGTTCAAAGGTCAACGTCTGGTACAAATGGATAGGCTGTCTTCATCAACTGAATAAATAAGAGAGGCGAAAGATACCAAAGGGATATTCAAACTCATAAGTCAAAAAAAAACTGACAATGCTATGACAAAAAACGAAAAATGATGAAAAGACAAACAACAGCAAACAAAACACCGCATAGAAAACTTAAGACTGAGTAACACTAACCCCACCAAAAACTCGGGGTGATCTCAAATGCTCCAGAAGGGTAAGCATATCCTGCTCCACTAGCCATCTAAATGACCTTTCATTGCCTAACAATAACCTAAAATGTATCCTGATTCTGTCCTACTTAATCTAGTTACCTAGCATCTGTCATGTTTTGTCCATTACCCTTTTTTGAAGCTTACAAGATAAGGATAAGTTGAGGATGTGTAGACTTTTTGAGAAAGGCATGTTTTATGTTTTTAAATAAGTGTCTAATGTACTAGTCCTGTTCCACTTAGTGGCACCCATTATGTCACACATTAGATTACAAGTAAAATTTGTTGATAAGTAGCATTTAGTAATGTCACAATAAAAAAAAAGAGGATGATTTAGAGGATACAATAATCAGAATACATCCATGGTCATCTGTGTTACAGATAATCCATAATGGTCAACCAAATCATGATGGCGTCTGTAAAACTTTCGAATGGATGACTCCAACTTTACTATTTTGAAACCTACGTTCAATGACTTCCATTTAAGCTGCAATCTATTATCAAGGAAATCATGATAGGAAACACAAGCCCTGGAATATTGTATCAACTTCGAGATAAAAACTCACTATGAATGCAGGAGCTGCTGAAAAGTTGCTACACAGAAATGGAAAGTTCACTATGGGAAAACTGAAATCATCTCTTTTTTCGTAAAGTTTAGTTCTCAACTCACCCTCATTTTCAATTTCTAGATGTAGGGTAAGATATGAAGCAGAATTGACTGTCTGTGGTATCCTTTCAGCGTGAAAAATGCAAATTAACAATAGTCACAGAATTTTGAATTATTCAGTCAAAGAATGCCATCTATGAAGCTGAACGTGAAGTAAAAAGTTGATGCCAGCTGCTTTTCATTTGTCTTGTTCTTTTGAAGTGTATGATTGATTGATTGTGGTTGCTTAAGGTCAAGTGGCAAAC